GCGGGTAAGAGGTGTCGGCCCTGGTGTGAGCAAATGTCGGCAGATGGGGCGAACCACATCTCGGGTAATCCAGCCTCACACGCTGTCGCCCACGTTGGTGTTAGTTTGGTGGTTAGTAGCCGGTGGAATGGCCGTATCCAGCTACCGGCCGAAGAGTCCACTGTCTGGAATCCTTCCCCCGCATTAGTTCCGAAGAGATTGAAGACTCTTGAACCTCGGGGGGTTCCCTTCGCCAAGAGTCGCGAGATGGTGAAAGAGATTCAGGGGTCCTGTCGTGGTAGGGTGACAATGGGCCGCTCCTCAAACACAACTCCGATGCCTTGCTGTCCCTGACCAGCTTCCCACGAGGTGTGGCAGGGAACGAAATCCACCGTGATGGAGGATTGGGAAGAGTTGGGGGCCATCTCGATGATAATCGCCTGCTTTCGGAAAAGTTACGATGGCGAATGGCACTGGCACGCGTGCATGGATGCAATGCTGAACCTTGACCTGCCATTTTGTTTCCAGAGGGCTAAATTGATGGATTCGGGCAAGAGGAAACTTTCCTCTGCATTTCTAACCGTAAATCCATCTCATCGGCAAATGTCTTTCCGGGTTGGGACTTGACCATTCTATGTACAATACTACCTTACTGTACAGCACCCAGTCCTTCCGGACCGTAATAGCAAGGGGAAGGAGAACGGGAAATTTCCTCTTAGTATCCGTATCCTCGCGTGCATAATTGCGACTGTGCTGTGCTGGTGTTCTGCAGCCCATGCAGAAGCGAGCTCAATTCAGAATCTCACCCAACATGGCACCACTTTTTTCTCACTTGATTCTGCCTGCTTTGGCGACATGGAACCACCCCTCAATTGTCTGACAGCACTGCTCCGCCCAGCTCACGCCAAACGCGTTGACTATCGACAAAAGCAGTAAGCAGAACGGCCGGCGGCCGGAGGCGGACATTGCCGGAGTAATGCAAGTTGGGCGTTGAGGCTTGAAAGTAATAAGGAGTCGTGGCAATCTGCTACCCAAGCTGTGGAGGTTGGAATTTCACTGGGACCTTCGCACAGACAGCATTGGGTGACTGTGCGGACATGATGGATGACATGGCCATGGGAACACAAAAGAGCACAAAGCCACGCCCAACCGAGTTCTGTTCTGCGACTGGCTGGAAGTTTGGGAGATGCTACACTACCTACACTAGAAGGAGGAACAAAAGTGTCACCCCCAACGATGCGGACTGAAGCCGATGCTATTCTGCAATAGGGAACTGATTGTCTCAGACCATCTCCACTCGTATTACGGTGTCATCGGCGTCCCATTTAGGGGAGACCACCCGGACCAAGCCAGCCGGCCCTTTGCGCCTCCCTTCTGACACTGACAGCTGTCTACGGGCGTAGTCAACCATATGATGGGGCTTCCTCTAGGGCGGTTCTTGTGGTGGCTGTTGCTTCTACGGCTTCTTCTGACGCTTCTTCTTCATCTACCGTGTGGGAATGCGGCTTGCAATCGGCTAGTTTGTGAGACAATCATGACAGGTCGCTACTGACTCTTTGGCTTCCTCTCCATCCCTCGCAAGGAGGTGATGCAGGGTCCTTGAAGTTTGTCTTTACGATTGGGGCAAGATTGCAACTTTATTTCTTCATCTTACTTTTGACAGCCACGAGCATGTCCAGCCATGCCATACACACTATTGCCTCCAGTTCCCAATCTACCAGCGATCCGGTGGTTTCATTTACCAACGCCAAGGAGCCTCAAGGACTGACAGACTACTTGTACATACAGTTCGCGACTGACCCGCAGCTCTTGATCGGATAAAAGACCAGGAATTGCGTCAGATTTTGATCCTTGTTCTTGAAGAGGAGCCCGGGTGTCACGGATGAATGTCCGCTGGTCCCAATTTAAATCCACGCCGCCCCAACGCACAGATAGTTGGCTACCACAGACACGTAGGAACGCTCTTTTGGTGGGGGCCACGAAGACCTGATCAAGCAGACGATCTGCTTCTATCAATGCGACCTGATATCCCGTAAGGCGAAGGCGCTGCCCAACAAGCTCCTGTGCTCCTCCGAGCAGAAAATCAGCTCGCAAATCTGGAGTCCAGCCCTTCTGTTACCCTTGCCTGCTGTCGTATTATAGTGTCGCTGGCGCTGTTTTGGTGACATGGCTCTCCTAATTCGGTCTCGCTACCAAACTCCGTAGTCAGTCTTAACAAGCATCCATCGAACTTAGCGTACAAGTGATGTGTGCTATGGTATTCATGCTGGCAATTCCTGCTAATACACGACTGCCGCGGCAGTACCCCGGGCGATCATCTCGTCGGTAAATGCTGGTGTTGAAATAGCCTGCATTTATCAAGACACTCAAAATGTGCGGCACATGCCGTTCTGATCCTGAATGAGTTGGATTCGCGACCTAGCCAACAAAACGTTACCTAAAAGGGAGGGAACAGCAGCAGGGTCGTCTGCAAAGAGTAGGTGAGTCAAGTGAGTGTTACATCGGGTGGGGGGATGGATAAGACAACAGGACGATCATCACTTATCGACACACATGAAACTCGTCGACAACTGATGGAAGATATCGTTACTAGGATGGTAAGTAACATCAATCATTATGGTTGTTGCGACAGTCTAACTGCGGTGCTTTGCAGCCCTGTTCACTCATCTTCCCCGATTGACGCGTTCCGCAGAGGATGAAAATCAAGATACTAGACTTGCTAGGGTAACATTAACAACTACCAAGTAAAAGTTACGTTTCTGTCTAGAACGATCGCCACCATTGACTGGAAACACCGAGCAATTTGCCATCGAATGTGTCTGGGCCACTACACCACAGCGCTGGGATAAGGCACTCTTAAGATAATCCGGCTATGTTACGGAGGTGAGTACTCCGTAGCCAGATTGCAATCGAGAGGCAAAGCCCCAGAGTTCTTAGGCGTGTCTTTGGCGGTTTATCAGGTCGCCCAGTGAAATGCCGCACCGTTTGTCATGACCCTTTCTCTCTATTGGACACGATTGGCCAAATTAGACTTTCAGAGTGTTGTTGTGTCTTTGCCAGATTTGTAAGGGACAAGAAACTTCGGTTAGCCTGGACCGGTATTGCAGATAACACAGCTTCTGCAAGGAATTTATTGATTCAAGTCAACACGACTTTAAACATGTTTTGTGAAGAAATCGTTCCAACTCAGGACCATGTTGCAGAGCGCGAGAGATTACTTGGGTCAGTCGCTGCCAGCTCAATATTAGGTTCTGTGACTGAAATCACCAGCATCGTGATTCAACAAGATAGAATTTTCATGCACACGTTTTTAGATACCGTGTTTCGAACGTAGGTTGTCAGTGACTTAGGCCTAGGTATGGTGCTAAACATGCCTCCAGTCACAAGTGCCAGGGTGCGATATTCAGGCGTACAAGCTAGCTCAAGCTGAAGCGGTGGCCACACTAAAACCTGAAGGCAAGATGTTGGACCCAACAATTCCAATGCTCAAGTGCAAGACACTGGAGCAAACAGGTACAAGAGGATGAAGCTCAGATATATCAGAAGTCCAGCCATGAGGGTATTACTGTACCACATGACAGCATTTCTGTACGTATGTTGCGTGGAACACATCGTTTGATGAGCTTTTAGTATAACAACAAGACAGCCAAAGGTACTTCAACTTTTGCGAATCCACCCAGCAGGTCGTTTCCATGGTTCCAGCGGTGACGGATGCCGCCAAATGTTCTGGGCAAACGTAGGGTCGTGGCTTACTGACAATATCGATCTGAGGGAGATATTGGCAAGAACTTCCTACGAAGGTGAAGTTGACGTATCTTCTGGCCCAATGAGATGAACTCGGAAAAGAGCTTCCATGCCCACTTTGTGATGATGACATAGATTGAATATTGGCTAGCTCACGACTCGAAGAACATTCATTATTAGCTACCATCATGGCAGTATTCAGTTTTGTCAGAACTGATAGTTCTTATGTATACATTGAATGGCATCAGTACTGACGATGTCGGCTGAATAGTGGCAACAAGCAGTCTGAGTGACATATAAGTCTGACCGATAGCTTGTGATTGAATAAGTTTCGTGGAGTAACCATTGATATGACATTGCACCCGACGTCAAGGCTTGAACCTGTATGGAGAAAAGTTTGGCACCTATCCATGGTCTCCCACTTCTTGATGATACTTCATGTTAAGAAAAAATATCTCATCCTCAACATATAGCTGCCAGATACTACTCCTTTTCTAGCGGTACTCGTTCTTGAACGCCAGCTAAACAAACCATGGGTAGCAGATATCCGCAACCTCCCCTGTGAGGTTGTCTGGGGCTAAGAAAAGTGTAAAAGCATGCATATTTTACCAAAGACGACGGTTATCAGCACTTCTTCCGTGAAACTGAGCTACGAAACTTATCCGATAATGATATGCCTTCGGCTGGACATTTTGGCTATTTTGGCAGCTGCGAAACTATGGCAAGCCGGCAGATGAGGACTGTATACATGATACACGCGAAATCTTTAATCCTGAGCCTAGTTCCAGTTGGCTGGTACTACGGGCCTGTGACATAGTAATTCAGGACTTTGTCTACAATCAACTGAAGATTTTGCACGAGACGTGTTCACACTAATACGGTTAAGCAAAACAGACATGTTCACCATCATAGATGAAAACGCTATCAGCCGTACTGAGATGAATCATCAGGTCTATCAGAGTCATATGAGGCGACCGCGGTACGCCTTTCTAGTAGACCATTCTTCTCACATCGCCTCTGCAGCGGAGAGCCTAGCTTCGATGCTCCGACGCCAAAGAGAAGACGCTAGTTTGTTAGAATGTTTCTATCAGACACAATGAGTAGATTTCCAAAAGGAGACCAGAGAAATACGACTATTGTGATCAAACCCCTCGTCTAATTTCTGTTTAGCATATGGCCTAGAATGAAAAGCCGGACCTTGATCTAGCTGCCAAGGAGAAATTTGGACGTATAAACTGAAGACTTCTAGATCGTTAGGAATGTCTTCGCGACGTTGGTCACGCAATATTGAATACGTAAGCCTATATGGAGAACGTTAGTAGGAAGCTTGTATGATTGCCCTCGAGAGACCATACCAAATCGTGCCAAGCTACTCCAGCATACTCGGATTGGCTCTTGCCATAGTGTGTAAAGCCCAGCTTTTCATAATACGAAACCAGCCTGTCGTAAGTGAGAATGGAAATTCTCTCTGCCTGTGCCGTTTGCATCATGTGCTCGATGTAGTATGCCATGAGGGTTTTGCCGTAACCCGACTTCTGGAAATGGGGCGCGACAGCCAGTGAATGCAAAGTGATAGTTCTGCCTTCAGGTCGATGCCCCACGTCGTATGTAGCGGTCGGGTTTATCTTCCACGCAGATGGGACAGCCATATCCTCGTCTGTGACAACAGAAGAGATTGACTTGGTGGAAATTGTGTGTGCGATAAGTTCATCACGACTCGAAGTTTCGGATGGGCTGTAGACCGGGGTGATCCCTTGTCGGATAACGCTCTCTGGGCTACTTTTGCCCTTACGGACAAATAATCCTAAGCAGAGTTCGGGGCATACCGTCAGTCGATATTCAATCTGAATGCACAATCGAATTAGATATGTTCGGTGGCCTTCTTTGCAAGCGCGCCCTTGCCCCTGAACACTGCGGCAATATGTGTGCTGGTGGCTACTTATGTACGAACTGGCAGGGATCTGGGTCATAAGATGTAGCTTGATGATGAATTCGTTCGTAACAACGAAGGCCGATATGGAAAGCAACTTGCCTTTTCGCGAGTCGCTGCTTCGGCGGGGGGGAAGGCTGCGGCCTCCACTGCAACGCATCGATCCAGATCGTTGACTGATAGTGGTCGGATGTATAATTCCATGATCACAACGACGGGCAAATAGTTCGACGAGAATTGATGTTAAGGTGTTACTGAGTTAAAAACGCACAAACATTGGTCGGAGACTGGAAAATGCTATAGTGCGAGAGGGAATTGAGCAAATGTGCAAACGTTACCTCTAGAATTTATCCGAGAGGCCATGAGTCATTGAGATGAAGCCGGAGTTCGGATTACAGCTCCCGGCCCTGCAGGTCCCCCTTCCAAAACCAGCCTTAGTTATGAAATTGGCCTTGTTTGCAGAAGCGGGTATTCAGAATCGAAGAGAGCGACACTCTGGTTCGATTTACGTGAGACATCCAAAACAGAAAAGATCACAGCACTAAAGCAACCATACTAGTCTTGCAGAGAGCCTCAGCGGTGAGCGTCTAGATTCGTCATAGGCAAAAATCCTGGCACCTATGAAGCTTTCTCAGACTCAACTATGATTGGCGTTGAGAGCATTGCGAGATCCCCAATTAAACCGTGCCAGATCTTTTTGAAAGGGTTTCCTTACGAAAGATTCCTCTCACAAGATTGTAACATGCGTCCTTGCAGAGTCGTTGGGCTGCAAGCCCTGAAAGCTGGCTCGTTTAGCCTAACCCCCCCACAAGGAGGTTCATGTCCTGCAATGGTTCCCTGAATTCCGTTCAACTTTGACCGTCACGGCTTTGGACTTCCCTGCCGATTCAAAACTCCATGGTCGCGTTCTCGACGACCAAAGCTCCCATCGTTAATGGTGTTCCCTGTCAGATGGACACCGTGCAAGTACCTATGCACTTTTCTCTTGGAATCGCCAGCAGCTATAGGCATGGACGCCAAGACTATTCCAGATGCCTCAATGGCTGCGAACCATGCTACTGTCGGGGCACCTGTTGTTGAGGCGCTGTCTTTGAGACCTCTCTTCATGTCCATGTTCTTCATACTTCTCTGCACTACCTTTCCCGTCCTGAATACTAGATCTAAACTCACGAAATTTCCGGATGTCACCGTCTCTACCTCCATCTTCGACATTGGTTATTCAAGGCCAGAAGACAATTCGTATTTGACTCGGTCAAACTCATCAAAGACGGTTTTGCTAAGGCAAGTGGCTCGTAAGTTCCGTCTCAACTTGACTTTCACTCATTCATGCAGGTCGGCATTACTACCCCTTTTCGAATTATCGCCGATATAGGCGAGACGGTTATCATTCCCCAGAATTTGCCATTGGCATTCGCAACGAAGCCGACCTCGATTTCATGGAATTTGTCAACCAGGTTTGGGCAATCGCATCTGTTCGGTCACTGGCTGGTTCACTTACGGACCTTGCAGCAATTTCTTTCAGACGTTCCTGGGTTTAAAGACGGCATTCCTGAATTCCCTGGTCACTGACGTTACCAGAGTCAAGATCACACAAACTCTCGGTCCGTGGACTATCTGGTGTTCTGAAATTTACATGACTCAATATGTCCTGACACATTTCTCAGGGAAGGTAACTGTACCTCTAGCTGACGAGTGTGATCAAGCATGCCGAGAGATCTTCGGGGAATCCAAAGGTAAAGTGGCTTTAAAAATGTGGAATGGCCCGGCGTCGCTTGAGTAATGCAACCGACACACTGCAGAACAGAAGGAGGCTGTACTGAAGTCCGCACTCTTAAAACTTGTTGCGCGCACATCATCTCGTGTGTTTCTTGGCGACGTGGGCTGCCGCAACCCGGCCTGGCTCAACATTACCAAGGAATTCACCGTGAACAGCTTAATCCGTTTACGTGTCATAAATCCACCCCCTTGCTGAGTAGTCTGACACTCTGTCTCACTGCCTCCTCATGAATTCGCCATCCGCATCGGATTGCGACATATCTCCCTTGTATAAGTAGTCAGTCTCTCTCCCCCTACACTTCTACTGAAGTACTAATTTTGACATAAGGACTTCTGACCCCCCTACCCTAGCGTTCGCTGTTAGCCGAATCCCATTCCCAGGGGTTCGGCATTTGGAGCATCGATGTTCTTGTTTAAGTTATTTCTGCCGAGAGTACGAAAATTGAAGCATGTTCGACATCCCTTGACTTGATTGGCATCCCAACGCCGTCGGTAGTACCCTTGGTCTTTCTATTGGTGCCTTTTTTGTTCTGTATGCTAAATGGAGATCGATCGAATGGTTTTAATCTACCGATTCTCGTAACCGGCATCCCTTTGCTATTTTCTTTCTCAGTTTAGGGCTAACCACACTCGGTTCTTCCTCTTTCAGTAAGATTGAACGGCTCTCCTAGATTATGTCCCGGAACTGGTGTCGTATCAGTACTTGTCAGGCATTCTGCCATGTGCTTGTCTACGTGGATCTTCCATTCGTCCAGTATATAGACTGATCTTCTTTCTTCGTTCTAGATGGACTACTTCAAGTTACTTTCCCCCCACTTCATATGCCCATTGCTGTTTGCCAAAACTCGTGGCAGATTGACAAGGGGCTTGTCGTCTCTAGAATCACGATGTTTGTGTTGCTACTAAGTTGGGCTGGATACCTGTTTTCATGGGCCTCGTAGTGAGCCTTGCTCTTTATAGTTTTAGGCGTTGCGGCGCTCGCCACTTTCGACTTTTATGAAGCAAAACCTGCATTGCCTATCGTGTCTCATCGCCTCTTCTGCTCGAAGACCACGAACATGTCATCAGTGGTGGGCTTGGTTTGTGAAGTCATTCTTGTTGCAATATTATAGTACTTGGTTTTAGTTTACTAGGCTGTTCACTGGGAGACGGCGATCAGGTTAGTTGTGTCTCTTCTGCCTACTAGCGTCGTGGGTGTATTAACTCCCGTCATATGTGTGATGATGGTTCCCTTTTTTGCAGGTTACATATTGCCCTTGCGGCTTTCTTGGGTCTCTTCAACTCCTGGGACTGCAATATAGAGCTCTTTCGATGTGAATCCACAGTCTTCGATGCTTCTCTTCTTCCAGTCATATGGGCAATAAGCGTTGCCTTACTTATACTGAACCTTCTGCCCATACAGACCAGCGTCAAAAAACATTGTAGACACTGGTATCGATATAGAGCAGTTCCTTACCATTCGCACATTTGTCGGCCTGATCGGCCTAACGATGTAATTTTAGCTCTTTAACACTGTGATTGCAAGATCTATCCTATCTGTCGCGGCATGATGTCAGTACATAGATACGTATCTTTGTAAGGGGTACTAGCGAATTATACGATAATCCGATCATATTTCCATTATCCCCACGAGTGCATCTTCAAGGAATTTGTGAAATTGGAGGAAAATTGGAGATGCTTGTATTGACGTTATTCCTCGACGGATGGGATAGGTTACGTAGAGGTGCGGCATTGGTCCTGTTGCAGCCCCCGACGACGCCTCTAATACTGTCTCTTTGAACAAAGGACTTAGAACGCTGAATCATTTTCAGCAGACTCTTGATCAAGTCTTTGGTGTCTATTTCAGGTGCTTTTGGACTAAATTCCATACTATAGCGGGCTTCGGGGGTTTGGGGCCGCTGACCCCAATGTTTGAGGAAATCGACCTGAAAGGCCAGGTTTGTGGTAGTCAACGGCTTAAGAACTAGGCAGTAATATTTACTAATACATAGTTTGATTCAATTGATCAAACAAACAAAGAATTGATATTTGAAATAATATGCTTCTCGAACGCCGCGGTCATTTCTCAATAGCGCCATGAGGTAGAGCTGACTCAGTCTACAATATCGATGATACCTGTATGCTGCAAACTTAGTTCGGTTTATCCCGGCATTTGGATTACCGTACATGGGCCCATCTACTTCTCTAGGTTTGTGGTTCCTTTAGCTAATAATCGCACTCGACGCATCTTCTGTACATGATCAGTGCCTACATAGAGAGATGCATGCCCCAGCATATAGCGTTAGGATTTGATCGCAAGGAATGACTAGGCGACAAGGTGATTCTAGACCATGGTGTCAAGCAAATCTAAGTTTAGTTCTTAGCAGAATTATGCGAGCTCGATGTTGCTAACTATTAATCCAACTGAAATCTCTAAGAAATGCGTTCATCTTTGACCTTTGGAAGCATCCTCCGGGTCTAATCATCCACAGTTCACAGCATCTAAGACAAGCTGAAACTTGATCTCATCGAAGAATTGGAGAACACGAATCATAGCCTTTATAGGGTCATTTCAGCCACTTGTTCCTCAACCCTTGCATTTCTCTAAACCGTCGTGATCTGATCGTAGTTTTTCCAGTTTACGTCTTCGTTTGAACGATTCCTGAATATAGAGACGGTCTTTAAACTTGGAGACCCTTTCTGGCCGGAAATTTGAGTGCCGCACGACCCACGCAGGGCCAAAGAAGAAAGAGGCTTCATATTTGATATTGCAAGAATCTACTGGGTCTGGTAGGAGGCGAAATAGATTGTGGAAGAAGAACTTACAAGGTTCGCAGCTGCCACCAGAATAGGGGTGGATACGAGAGAAAGAGAGTGTAGTGTGTATTATCTAAGTACGATTCTACGGAGTAGGATATCCAACATAAAGATGCAAGTCACTATGTACGAGATACGTCTGAGACATCCTGCAACCATTTCATACAGGCATGACAGCACTTCAATCATTGGCGATAAAACGGACTAACCTAGACATCAACGCTCTTGGAGTGTTCCGACACTGAATCCTGCTGTGATTAATGCATGTACCATCCATTGTTAGGTTGACATGCATACCGCCCTGTCCTACCCTTTGACAGACTGGAAAACTAGTTGTGCCATGTGCTATGGTACCTTCGGATTACCGGAAAAGGTGAGACTCGTCGTATTATAGATGATCTGAAGAGCAACCTCCAAGGCGGAGCTCATTCATCCCTCTTGATCTTAGCTTCCGGGTGGGATGCTCCTCTCTCTCGTACGTTAGGTGAGGAGAAATCAAGAAGTTTCAGCGAGGACTTCTCCGTGCGCCCTCTTGTCTTCCTCTAGCCCATTAGCCAAGGCGAAATTTTCCCCGAAGTGGATATCACAAACACGTTTCTTGATCGTCGGCCCGATGAACACTCAATTTATTCACTAAACCGCACGAAGCCCCGCCAACTTTTACCTCAGTGCCCAAATTTACCTTGGCTATGTCGTACCAGTACGCTAACGTTTGTCCACTCCTTCAAGGATAGCTTCCTCCGCCATTTCCCCATGACTAAAATCGCGGGGAGGGCGAGTCAAGACAACGCTGGGAATGCCTTGCGACCTGTTCTCCGTGGGGTAAAGCATCTTTTCTTGTGGAGAAGCATTTAGGCTCGTGGCCTTAAGTGGACATAACTCTCGTAAAAGCGGTCTCTCGGCGATTAGGCTTTTGTATATAAATCGCGTTGGTAGCTCCCTATGGTGATAGTAAATGTCATATTATCGGATGCCTCCTTTTGTAGTACAATAGATACCATGGCGATTCGCAGTGCCTTCTTGACGACCCTTGTCGGTGTCGCCCAGTTCACCCGGCATACACTTGGCCAATCAACCATTTCTTCTCAACCTGTCCATGTTCCAACTGGGACACCCATCGTTGGCGATTACAATGGCGCGTACCGCCCTCAAGTGCACTTTTCTCCCCCTCAAAATTTCATGAACGACCCCAATGGCATGTTCCGAGACGCCGATGGCGTTTGGCATTTGTATTACCAGTACAATCCTACGGGCGTTGTTGCAGGCAACCAGCATTGGGGACATGCAACGTCCAAAGACTTGTACCATTGGTCAAATCAGCCCATAGCTCTCTTCCCCCCCGAAGAAGATGTCTTCATCTACTCTGGAAGTGCTGTTGTTGATGTGAACAATACATCCGGCTTCTTCCCAGACCAAGACAACGGCGTGGTTGCAATCTATGTGAGTTTACACCAATTGAGCTTTCGATACCACTGTGGCTAATTTAACAAGACTCTGGCATCGCCGACGCTGCAGACTCAGGGTATCGCTTATTCCAGAGATGGAGGGTACACCTTCACTCCATATGCAAACAACCCCGTCATCAATAGTACAAGTGCGCAGTTCCGCGATCCCAAAGTCGTCCGTTACAACGGCTCGTGGGTCATGGTGGTTGCTTATCCACATGACTTTGCCATCGGTATCTTCACGTCACCCAATCTGAAAGATTGGACACCAACTAGCAACTTCTCCCATCATGGGCTTCTCGGTCTGCAGTATGAGTGCCCAAACCTGATTTCTATGCCTTACATAGACGCAGAGGGCAAGAGGCAGGACGACATGTGGCTTATGGCCATCAGCATAAACCCAGGTGCGCCCCTAGGAGGTTCTATAACGGAGTATCATCCTGGCACTTTCAACGGCACTCACTTTGAGGCTGTTGACGCGGCTGCGAGAATTGCAGACTTTGGAAAGGATAACTATGCCGGGCAATGGTTCTACGGCGTCCCGGCCGAGGAATTCCCGGTGTCAATCGCATGGGCATCCAATTGGCAATATGCACAAACGGTTCCGACTGACAAGGAAGGCTGGCGAAGCATCATGAGTCTTCCGCGTCAGAACTATCTGACTAAGGCGAAGCGAGTGGGATGGAAGTTGGTCTCGGCCCCGTACAATTTGGAGCCTGTGCTGGGTCGTGAACTGGCTTCCAACCACAGCATGGGTAACGGGACACTGATCGTGGACTATGCCGATGTGGCATCCAACGCGATTCACTGGGAGGTCAATGTGACAGGCATTCCAGAGAAAGATATCTCAGCAACTGCTTCTTTGAACTTTACGTTCTCGAGTCCTGCTACCGGCGAGTACATCAACGGCGGATACTTCTTCGGCGGGGATCCCGTGTTTTTTGTCAACCGGAATGGCGCCCGGGGCTTCGAAAATATCTTTTTCACAGAAAGAACGTCCATTAGCAGTTTGACAACAGAACAAAACTCGTGGAGTCTCAGTGGAGTGATTGATAGGTCGATTCTTGAGGTCTTTATTAACGGTGGCCTCGATAGCGCGACTAGCACGTTCTTTACGACTCAGCCATTGTCGCGCTTTGTGTTGAGTACCATAGACCTACCTAATAGCATGAGAGTGAGCGTCAAGGTTAATGGGTTAGAAAGCACATGGAAATAGACAGAGCAATGGCACTATTTTAACGTATACAGTACTCGACAACCGACGAAGGCGCCCTGACCCTAACGGGTGGGACAGGCGTTAAACAATCAAAGCAACAAACAATGTCGTAATGTATGCTGGGAGTAGTTATCAAGTAAACTATAGTTGGACAAGCAGAACATCCACGCCTTCCATTCTCGGGCATCAATCGATGATGCGATCTGCTGAAGACTTTATTTCCGTCGGCTTATATTCCTGAAAACTTCGCTCTGATACGCGGTACAGTACGCCTTGATTCTCCATGGAGCATCCGTATTGACAAGCTTAAAGTCGAAGATGTGTACGAACTGAGCCACGAACTTGTGCAGCTCCACCTATAGAAACCATACCTGGTCAGTTTGACTTCCACTCAAAGCTCGTGGTCCTATCCGACTTACCAGCGCAATGTTCCTTCCCATACACATTCTTGGCCCGCTACCGCCAAATGTCATCGTACTACGATCAAAGTATCTTGTCTTGTCTTCGTTTTCGAGCCATCGGCCCGGGCGGAACTCGTTCGCATCTGAACCCCATATTTCCTGATCGCGATTTTGGGCTATAGGGCTGATTCCAATCATTGTGTTCACCGGGATCTTGATACCCCTTACCTTAAAGTCAGGTGGTGTGTGTCGTGGGAGCTGAAAGACGATGGACGGTAGTAGTCGAATGGCGTCCTTGATAACTGCTTGCAGATAGGGCAGCTTTTGAGTTTCCAGGTAAGAAATGGGTGCTTTCAAATTATTTACATTGTAAAAGTTGTCAATCTCCTCTCTCAGCTTAGCCAGCACTTCTGAATTTGTTGCCAAGTAAAAGAGGCAGGTTCGCATGCTAATAGAGATTGTGTCTGCTCTTGCCCCACTGGACTTTCTCTTAGTAGCTATGCGTTATGACGAGGAGGTCGAACTTACACTAAATTCATCGCCTCCACCAAGATTTCAACAAAGAAAGCTAGCTTGCCTTCGAGGTCCTTCATTCGGCAGAAATAAGCCAGAAGGTCTTCTCGTCCGGTCATCTTAGGGTCGTCTAGACGTTTCTGGAGTCTCATCGCGGACCAATTGCGGAAAGCTACTAGGGGTTGGTCTGCGTTGAAGAACCCAGTAATCATTTGAGCGCCACGACTTGTGACAAGCTATAACCACCGCGGGAGGTGGCCGACGGATGACAAGAGCTTGGAAATATCGAACATGGTTTTTCGAAGTTGACCTACGTCCTTTTCTTCCTGAAGATGGCCAAATTGGGAACCATAGTCGAGTTCACCAACTACATCAAATGCAAACGCATTAGTCCGTACAGCCATGTCAACAGTTTCACCAGCTTGGGTGTATTTCTCGAGCTTTCGGATCAGTAAATCGAGGCAGGCCTGAATATGGACCTCGTAGTTGAGGACTGAAGACATTGAGCAAGCACTCGCCAGGTGCTTTCTAAGAAAGCTATGCTGCTTCTGGTCCAATTCCGAGAATGATTGAGGTGCTGTAATGGGAGAGTCCCAAATGGAGTACCAATCTGTTTTGGCGGCATTGTGACCGTGGCCGTACAAGTTTTTCATGGCGTACTCGTCCACTACAGAAACTTCGTTTGGTGCAATTCGTACCACTCTTCCATATTTGTCATGGATGGAGAGTATGTCATCGTGCCAGTCGCCTTGAATGTATTTTGTGGTGCGCCAGAGACCTGTTAATCTGGCTGGCAGAGGGCCAGGCAGATGGGAGAGAGGATGCAAAATAAGTCTGTAGACTAAAGTAGCAATAATAGCCATAGCGCTGGCAGAAATACAGGATAATATCGTGGGCATGACATCCATCTCTCGTTTCACGCTTAGCCAGTCAAACCAAGTGGAATGTTGCGTCATGTTGAGAAGGAGGACCGTCGTCATGAGCCGGGCGCCTGAGCGCAAAGGGATAATGTGCTACAGAATTATCAATGCACCTAAAGGATTGCAGCTAATGGAACATCTGGGGTAGCATATCATTCCTTTTTTTCTCTTCGAACAAATAGCCAATATACGGGCCAGAAGCATTGGATGTGCCCACATCGTGGATGTGGGGCCTCAAACAGAACTTATATTGTCATGCACTCTGACTTTTGGGAATGTAACTGGCTTGGAGGTATTTGGTACGACGAAAGGTGCCGAACTGAGTACTCTACCTTTTACAAAAGACAATTCAATTGACACGTAGCCAGAAGTCCAACTGACAACTACCTTACAGAACACTCAATATGAGCAACATGGCCCGTACATAGAAGTCCCCCGATGAGGGGAACGAGTGGGAACGAGATCGTGGACCCAGATAGACATCATCAAGCAACTCCATGAGGAGGACGAGAGTCTACTTCCAGGACCTAGACCCTTGGAGTACGATCTGGTGAATGCAAATCCCTATTGGGCCCATCAAAGGTGCGCAAAGACTTTCCATACTGAGAGGATTGTTCTCTGTGGTGATGCTGCGCATGTAAGTCATGTTCAATGCCGCGCGTTTCAGAATGAGATGACTTTGTTCATCTTTTAAAGTTCAACAACCCAATTGGCGGACTTGGTCTGACAACTGGATTCCTAGACTCTGCAGCACCTGGGAACTGCCTTCCGAGAATTCTGATCCTCGAAGAAGAGGCCGGTCCGCTTCTGTCACGATACGGAGAAGTTTGAAAAGCAACGTGGCAAGAATTCGCGAATAAGGCATCGACAGAGTTAAATTACGTTTGCACTCCGGTGATCCTAAAATTGTTGCTGTGAGTGAGGCTTTTATCTATGCGCCGAATAACGACCGCGATGTGCATAAAAGGCGGCGTCATCCATGAACGAAAACATTCAGGACATGTTTGAAGGTCCATTAATGCAGTAGAATAGGTTTCTGATAAAAGCTTCCGCAAGCGCGAGCTTGATTATCACACAAGGAAAACATTTCCCAGGGTCGTATTGTGCCCTAACCTGTCGGCCACTACCGTTTTATCCTGAAGATCGGAGATTCGGCTCCTCCCGGTGTCCTTATAATGACAACTCAAAAACTCGCTGTGGAGACACTGGGTCAAGGAGACGGCAATGAGCCAAGTTAGCTGGAGAAGTAGCGATACGAGCTGCTACATACCGGGCTCTGTTACCGGTGGATAACGGGGAATATAAAGTCAAGATTCCGTGATACCGAACAGCCGGCGGGGCGGAATTTGCCAAGATCCGAAATGTCGCCATCTGCAAAAGACATAGATCAAGGCAGAACTGCTCGAAGCGAAAGAGATCATAGGAAATCTATATTTGCAGTCCAAGTCGACCTTCCATTCTTCCATATTATCCAGTAACCATTCCATGCTCTGTTGTTCGAACCCGACGGCATGGGTATCAAAATCGTCATTGTAGGCGGCAGTGTCGCTGGCCTTTCTCTTGCCAATATGCTGGAGAGATTCGACATCGAATACACGATTCTCGAAGCGTATCCTGAGATTGCGCCCCAAGTCGGAGCTAGCATCGGCTTACTTCCCAACGGCCTGCGCATCCTGGATCAACTAGGCTGCTATGAGCGACTCCGAGAGGCTGCTGGAAACTACTACCACAGGGTGACCTTCCGCGATGCGAATGGGAAACCGATCTCATCAGCTCCTGGACCTACTATTTCAGAAAGAATGGAGAAACAGTCGGTTGAATTCTTTCAAGAGTTGATGTCCATGACACTGACCAAGAAAGCGCCGGATACGCGTCTTTGTGGTTAGATAGACAGATGTTACTTCAAATCCTGTACGACAACTTGAAACAAAAGGACAAAGTCCTTACGAGCAAGCGTGTAGTCCACGTGGAAACCAGCTCTACAGGAGTTTTGGTCACCACGGAGGATGGATCGACACATACCGGCGATATCCTGGTCGGCGGTGATGGAGTTCATAGTAAGGTACGAGAAGAGATGTGGCGGATAGCTAGTGTCTCTGATCCAATTGCGTTTCCCCAGTCAGAGAGATCAAGTAAGTATATAAGGATTTCCACAACGTTGCACTGACGTAGTGTTGGCGAAGAGAGACATACTAACCGTTATGCATAGTCGTACAATCGAGCATGAAGTGCATCTTCGGAATTTCTAAGCAACCAGTAAACTTCCCGCCTGGTGCTACTCAGCAGAGCACGTTCTTCCGAGGCCATCTATACCTGGTCATATCCGCACCGGGAGACCGGGTGTATTGGTTCCTGTTCCACGAATTAGGAGAGACAAAATTCGGAAAAGACATTCCTAAATTCTCTAAGGAGGATGAGTTCTTGCTGTCGACACAACATCGACATGATCACATCACAGAAGAACTGACGTTCGGGGATCTCTACGACAACCGTATCAAGTCTACCTTGGTCCCGTTGGAGGAACATGTGTTCAGGCGATGGCATTTCCAGAGGATTCTTATCATTGGTGATGCGGCAACCAAGGTACTGCCGTAAAGCACGGACCCAGGACTACATAGACTACAGAGGTGGATAGGTGTGCTAATATCACCATCCAGGTTCATCCGATCTCAGCTCAAGGAGGAAACGGTGCGATTGAGGCGGCAGCGAATCTTGTCAATGCCCTCACGCGTAGCGAGATTCCAACCTCTCCAGACCTCCAACCTGAATTCATCGAAAAGGCGCTAAGTGAAGTATGCGCGATTCGATATGAACGGGCCTCCAGCATGATGAAGAAGGGTCGTCGAGATGGCGCATTCCTCTGCCAACAGCCGCCGTTTTCAGGGCTTATTATACATTACGTTCTACCCTGGCTCGGGGATGACCTCTTCTTCAAAGAAATTCTCAAGCAGTCTCTTGCTGGTCCACATATAGAGAAGCTCCCCGCACCGGAAAGACCCCATACGACGCCTTACAATGACGAGTTGCCTGCAATTTCTTCTAGGTACTCCTTGTTTGGTTGGAATACCGGGACGCTCTTAGTGGTGACTCTTGGTGTGTCTCTATACCTAGCTCAAAGTGCTGGACGGTTGGTATGGGTGCCCAAAACCCGCTAGGAGAATACATGCACAGGGCTACTTTCCTTCACTTTCGCTCTTTGAATCAGTGTCTTGCCGCTTCATTCCTTTTACATGCATAGTACTAGATCTATCAAGAGCCAATCAAGTTATCATTAGTTTGTCCTGAGCAACTCGTTAGTATCAAGCTGGAGATCTGCATTACATAAACCATAAATCCACGTTTGCGCAAGATAGAGGAGTGAAGCCATCATTATACAACGAAAAATTGGACACTCAGTAATCAATTCAAAGGCAGAGAATGGAATCACGTACTAATTTTTATGTTGACTTACTAACCCTGTGTAATCCTTCAATAAGTCCACTTTGACATGATTTGCTCCCAGTACTTGGAAGGGATTAAAACCCATAGGATGTCCACTGGCTGTCGACCTTATCCTGGATGTCTTGGGGGTACGAACCTCGGAAAGACGCCGATTTCCAATTCTCTTTAGCTTCTGTGAACTCTTCAGGGAACATGCAACATCGTACAACCTTGACATGATTTCTCCCCTTCCTGAACCCCCGACTGACATACGGAATCAACGGGATGTTTCCATAGTCGTCGAAGAAAAATTCATTCACCTCAGGCTGGCACCTGGTGGCCTCGGCCCAGATCACGTCGTTGAGATCCGTTGGGTCGATGTCCTCTCCGACCAGGTACACTTTGGGGATGTAGAAGCCTGGCTTCGAGGCGAAGACGATTGTGCCTACCTTCTTACAGAATTCCTCCATATCGGTCCGTAGGGCACGAAGCGCGGCCCAGTCTACCTGCAGAGCGAACCAGAGGCAGTGAGATTCAAACGGGCTCCATACCATCCTGATAGGGAGGCCGGCGGCTTGGCAAATGTTGAGCACCTCGGCCGCCTGAGTCAGAGCCCATACCGTTTCGCTCTCCTCCGCTGCCCGCCCCGTGACGCAAATTGGCACAATGGGATCTTTCCGGTATGTGATGGCATCAACTCGGAAGACGGGGGCAGGTTTAGCCACGCCTTGGAAGGCATGACCATGGTATTCGACAAAAGGTCCCTCATTCGCCATCTCCGTTGCGGAGACAAGACCTTCCAGAACCAGCTCGGTATCGCAGGGAATCCGAATCTCGCTGGTCTCACACTTAGTGACCTCCACTGGCTTGCCGATAAGGGCGCCCACGAAACCGCTCTCATTCACGCCCTTCGGAATTGGCATCCCGCTCACCATGATGGCGGCAGGCGGAACCCCGAAGCATAAGGCAAAGGGCATATCCTCGCCCCTTTCCAGCCACATATTGCGAATGCGTCCGATGTCTTGCGCGGACATTGTCGGGCAGACCATGGTCCGTTTGCCATTAACCATGCCGCGGGTAATAGACCAGTTAACCCACGCCCCGTCGGGGCTTTGCACAATGAACATGCCAAAGGTCTGGAGATAACGGCCGCCGTCAGCCTCATGTAACATGGGGATGGGAAGGCTTTCGAGGTCAATATGTTCTCCAGCGATCTTGAACTCTTTTACCGGGCCAGTTTCGAATTCGTTTGGAGGGATGGGTTGGAGCCTTTTTGCTTGGTTGATTGCTTCGATTATGTCTCGTCCACTCGATGTAGACGGTAGCCCCAACGACTTCGCGATGCGGATGAAACACTTGCCAGGAAGCTTGCTCGCCCCGACTGGTGCCCCAAGAACACGAAAGAGGCCATCTTCGGTGCGACCCTTGACGCATTGAAAGAGGGGGGCCTTGTCTCTGGTTTCGTAAACCTTTCGTGTGATGGCTGCTAGCTCCAGATGAGGATCGACCTCTTTAGTGATGCTTAGTAGGTCGTTCTCTTCGGCCAACTCTTCGATGAAGGTGCGGAAGCTGGCCGCGGATGATTTTGGGTCCTCAGTCGCTAAGTTCATCGCCATTTGCTCTGACTCAAGTAGGAAATGATGTTTAAGGGGATGAGGTGTCGAGTTGAACGACAATTTTGATTCTTCAATCACACGGTACCCGAGGGCATTTATAAGTCACCGATTGAACAAAGCCCACATGCACCCTGGAAACTTCCTGGCCTAATGAAAATATGGACTATTCAGAGCACCAGCAGAAATGGCTTAGGTTGAGTGTATATTATGTCAATAGGGCTCAATGTACTTTGAGCTTCCCAGAACGCCGGGTCCCAATGTAGAGGGTTTGAGTGATTGTATGGGCCGCCACTAGGTCCTCAGGGCCAGTACACATTCTCTCAATCTATTGTCTACCGAGTTAATCGCGTAAGAACCGGCTCAGCTCCCGTAGCGTCGACCGGAAGGTCATCCGTTACGAGATCCACAACATCTTCGGCGTCAGACATGGTGTCTCCGCCGATTCACACTAAATCGAACAAAACCCGTTCCTTATAGTATAGCGGCTTCTTATATCCGCCACTATTTCCATCTTTTCCCCACTAATTCAGAGGCCTAGTCGTCGTTTTTACGTTACTGTTACGTCTTTAAGACACTGTCGGCCCCGGCGCGGAGCGGAACTATACCTAACCGCCGATGCTGTTGAAGATTCGCGCGTTCGGTTCTCCGTGTCTAATGAACCGTGGAACAGTTACTGTGTGTGATTTCACGGTAGATGGCTCTAAGCCCTAAACAAACCTGATGTTGCAGGATTAAAAGGCAAACATCAAATCTGGTGATTTTGGCTCTAGACGATTTTGGCTGTGAGAGTTGACCTAGGGACTTGCATGCCGTGTCCCTATGCAAACATATATTTTTGGGCGGTTCTCATATTGCCTCTTTCCATCACAAACGTAGCCATATAAATGACGATAGAAGGCATGACTACCTCACAACGAAAGCGCATTATCGTTGCTCTCACAGGCGCAACTGGAGCTATCCTTGGAATCAAGACCCTCATCGCCCTCCGGCGGCTCAATGTCGAAACACACCTCATCATGACCAAGTGGGCTGAGAGTACCCTCAAGCACGAGACAGACTACACCCCGGCGGCCGTCCGCGCCCTCGCGGATCACGTCCACAACAACAGCGACATGGCCGCCCCAATCGCGAGCGGGTCGTTCCGAGTAGACGGTATGATCGTGGTGCCTTGTAGTATGCGAACGCTCGCTGCAATACGCGCGGGGCTATGCGACTCACTTGTCGCCCGCGCGGCGGACGTGGTGATTAAAGAGCGCCGAACGCTTGTACTCGCCGCACGGGAGTGTCCCCTGAGCGGAATTCACCTCGACAATATGCTCTCTCTGGCACGGAACGGGGTCGTTATCTTTCCGCCGGTGCCCGCGTTCTATCAACGGCCGGCGACGGTGGACGATATCGTTGAGCATAGTGTTGGGCGAATGCTCGATCTGTTTGACCTAGATACGGGAGGGTTTGAGCGATGGGGAGGTTTCCAAAGAGATTAATGGGTTCCGTATCTGAAAATCAGGAATAGCTGTTGCGAAAACAACTCGGTCCATGGGACTTGGTTGTCTGTGTGGGTGTTCACAGAATCGAAAAGGATTAGTTTGGCCGAGGAGCTGAAGAGACTTGGGACTGCAACTTCACTAGAGACATGAACAAGATGAATGGTAGAAGGCTAATTGCGAAACTCCGTGTATGGCCATTTGGCTACATTTAACAAAGTACGTGAGTTTCATGAGGTCATAAGAAGTTGGGATAGTACCCGATTCCGCAATGAACGGGTTCTCAGTAATACTGTTGGAGCTTTGAAGCCATGACAACGACCTTTGGAGTGACAATTGGAGGACTTGGACTCAGCCTTGGGTCTTAAAAGCCATATTAAAGAACTCGAAGACAAGATGAAGGGAATGAAGAGTTTAGATTCGTTAGAGCTATGCAGCAAGCATTCATCTGATTACGCTCGTGGGAAAGATGGTGAAACCCTTCATTGAATGACACATGGTGTGGCCTGGCACAGCCACTCAGCTGACCGCTGTGATATAAGTTTTGCAGCATTAGGTAACCGGTGGTCAGCCACAAAGTAGTCAAATTCACATAAAGGATTGAAAAGTCCATAAGTGAGAGATCATGCTGAACTTTTGCGTATGAGCTGCTCGGTAGAAGTCTTTATCTGGATACTACAGCTCGTCATGGGCTTTGCTCTGACTAATTACACTTACTCCATGACTTCCACTCTGTGAAACAAAAGCATCCAGCTGTTCCACTGTCAACATGTCAGTGAAGTTGCCCTGGAAAGGTACAACGTCATTCGAACCGGCGCGATATAGCCTGATTGATGGATATGATGCTATCTCGATTGGCACATCGTTCGCGTCGACATCAATACTTGCCAGCGCGACTTTATCCGACAGGCCAAACTTGGTGTATTTGAACCCGAGCTCATTCATTGGAGTATGCAGACTGTTCGACTTGTTAGTACTGCATTGGATGGCGTACAGATATGATCAACTTACTCAGTACAGTATTGACACCACGGCACGTAGAACTCAACCAAGACATCTTTAGACTTGTCATAAGCTAGGTCGTCAAAAGTACTGCCAACGAGCGTGGTCAAAAATCGGTGCGTTGTCGACGCCTCCGGCACCGGTTCTGACTTGATGGAAGGTATCAATGAACCATCCAGGTAGGCCAAAACATGTTTAGCGACCCTGTTGACGTTGAACACCTTTTCAGACATAGGATATGCTCTCCCTTGTGGATTTGCAATGGAGAAACCACGCTTGATGTCCTTGCTAAGATGCATTTGCTCACATCTTTTGGGGTAATCTGGCGCAAACACCGTCAAGAAGGTGAGTTGATCTTTGTACTTCTTTGCAAGAGAAGCCAGTGACTTGACGATCTCAGCCCGATCATCCCGCTTGCTGAAGAATATCTGGGCCAATGGTTTCTCATCCTTGAATGGTTAGTCACCATCAAACATCCAGCAAAGCGAAGAGGGACCTACCTTTGTTGCTTCTTCATGAATGATGGGATCGTATTCGCGAATCAGCGGCTGGGTTGCATCCTGCAAGAAGGCCTCGACAGCTACGACGGTGAAAGGTCCGCGGTAATAAACTGGATCCTCTTCCTCTTGGGTATAGACAGCGACGGAAGGGCCCTTCCTGTCTTTCTCTGGGCTATGAAGATTACCAAAACTGTAATGCGCTCGCCACTTAGTAGCAACAGCGTGAAAGGTCTCAAGCTCAGGTTGATGATCCGAACCAATAAAGGCAACAACTGTGACTCGAGATGAGCGCGCGAAATGGAGATGGTTCTTTTCAGTAAGCTCCGTAACTGGAGAACCTGATTGGCGTTCAATATATTTTACAACCCTGCATTCATGATCAGTGATCCACAAGCCATGTTAGAGAAATCGACAAAACTTACGATGACGCGTCTAAAGCTTCTTTGTAGGTAATCAACTCCTTGTTGCCGGGTGTAAACTTCAATGTGGGAACAGTAAAGACCTGAGAGTCATCGCACACAGCCGGCTCCTCATTGCAGTTAACAGAAGCAATAGCGGTCTTGGTAAGCGTTGGAGACACCCTGTCCAGGACTTCTTGCACTCTGTCACATTCCTTGCAACCGTCCGCTGTAAACAAGATAAGCGCTGGCCTTGAAGATACTAAGACAGTAAACTCTGTTCCACGAAGTTTGACGCATTGTGTCGGAACAATAAGAGCAACGAATGATAGGAGTGTTGAGGATTTCATGATAGTAAGTAGAAGAGACGAGAGAATCAATTTCCAAACCGGAGAGCAGACCCAGATAATCTCTGTTTGAAGAATTTATTATATCAACAGTTATCAGTATCATAAACTGTCCACTCCCGAATTTAGCCCGTTTAAGCCCAGATCGTCATCCCGCTAGCTTGTCATGGGACCTAATCTCGTCTAGCCATTCTTTAATTTCACAAAGGCCTCCGCGCGGCCAAGCCGCCGCTGAGGCACAGCTGAACCCTGCCAATTCTAGAATGTTTTATCGAATCACATGATGGATCCCTCTGAAGTTTAAAAAGACATTTCCCGATCATGATTGGCTCATCGACTCTCTATCTACCAGCTCCACAGAAGCCATGAACCTTATAGATAATACAAAAACATATGCAGCGACTAGTCGACGTTGAAACCTGAGTTGTGGAAAGAGTTTGAAATTGGGGCCACGAGCTTTGATAACATATAGTGGGTGCTGACTCGCTGAGGGAAAGAAAAAATAATTGTTCCGATTAATCATACTCGTGTGAATGCGCTCCTTTCCAGGGGAGCTCGTAAAGTCATGTTATCTCCTTAGCACGAAATTTGACGATTATCTCCATTCAGCTTCCTTGGCGTGGTGATAGGATGATTCATGCTTATCATACAGAAGTTGTTTGTCATAGAATACGCAGAAGACTGGTGATACTGTCGCGTGAGAGATGGGATATAGTGTAGATTAGTACTTGTATATATAGAGATCACTGGATTCGACAAACTTTCCATTAGTATCATCGCAGCCTCACTTGTTCAAAGATTTCAAGCTTTTCAACTATCTGATCATGAAGTTCACTTCAGCTTCACTTGCCTTCCTTGCAAGCTTCCCCCTTGTCTTCTCCATACCGACTGAAGCTCAGCCATCCAAAGAGCTCCAACAGCCCGAAGGTTTCGCCAAGATTCATGACGCTGACGGCGAGCACTGGCTTCAAGCCGTCAAAGCAGAAGCAGCCCGTCAGGAAGCCGCTGCTGCTTCCGTCCATAATGAGACTGAGGCCCTCGAGGCCAGAGCCAGCTGGATCTACCAGGTCCACGGCATGTATACCGACAACCTCGTCAACGTTGGCGATGTCGACACCTTCTACATGCTCTGGACGCGCATGTACGACTCCAGCGACGACAGGGGCGGTCTCTCAGACATCACTCGCAACGCATGGAGCAAGTTCTGCAACAGCCCATACGGTGGAAACGGCGGCGTAACCACTAGATTCACCCTCGACGGTCAGTGGGGAGCCGTAGGTCGTCTCAGCGGCTGGTCGATGCGCGACGCCCTGATCCACTCTATGTGGGAGACAGCCAACAGCATTGGCAAGCACAACGGTTACACCGTGTATAACGGCTGCTACGGCTTCACCTGGCAGGAGGGAACGCCGAACAAAGCCGACTCGGCATGTGGAGGAAGATCGGGCAAGCCTTGCCCGTATAATAAGGACTGTCCGTTGTCGGGTATGGAGTGCACTGGTCTTAAATGGGGCACTTGGCTTCCTAGCATTATCCGCATGAACGTCTATAACCGTGATGGGTCGCTTCGTGCTGATGCGTATCAAGCTAGAATTTCTTCACAGGCTATTGGGACCGGTGGTTGCTCTAAGGCCCAGTCCATATCTGCTTTTGTCGCTGACTTTATCCCAATTGTGGGACCTTACTTTTCCACTGGTATTCGTCTTGACTGTTTGTACAAGAGCTAAATTCGCTTATTTCTATTATGTAACAGCTGGTCTATCTTAGAAATACTAGATTAAATTTAATCGCCATCCTCTGCATCTATATTGCTATAGCGAGCTGTCTATAGCAAACCCGCTGTGTGTCTGCAGATGCCGTATACCACCATAAGAGGATGACTTAGTGCGGGCATTTGGTTGGAGATGCCTGATGTGGAGGGAAAGTAATTATCCATGACATCCATTACTAAGGAAAAGAGCTAACTGCTTTGACAGGGGTGCCTCCCGGACTCAATCTCTTGGCCAAAATAGTTTCCATATCTAGCTTCAAAGCTTTGGCGCCCTCGGTGACAGTATATTCACTTAGAATGAGGTATTTCTACTACTCGGATTCCTAACTTATCTTTACCCTAAATAAAAATAAAGCTATGCTCTTGTTTAAGTAGGGTGTGATATACGGGCGGGAGCATCGATTATGATAACTACATCTTAGAATTAATTTATTATTTAAGTAGATACTGATCTTGACGGCGCTGTGAACGAGTCTGATACTATTAATAAAGCATTTTAAACCCTAGTTCATAGAATAACCTTCCTCCCTGATATTAGCGACTCCCTCGGCGCATACGCAGTCATCGCACAAAAGGAACACACCACCCTGTATTCGAACCAAATCTTCACACTACTCGCCCTTCTAATACTCGTCACTCAACTGCTGAACGAGCTGTTCGCCCAACTCCCGAACATCTTTGCCTCTATCGCCTGCTTCGGTCGCATCCAATCATTTCCCCTGTCCCCAGAAACGTCTGCCAAGTCAGAAGCCCGTAGCACTTCCGGCAACCTCGACAGCACATCCTTCGTCGGTGAATCTTAGAGCGGCTCCTCGGTTCGTCAGAAGTCCGAAAAGCAGCCCACAACCATACTGACTCTCATTCTGGATCCCCTGGCGAACGGGAATACCTTCGAGATTCGCAATGCCAAATGTGGATGGAAGGCAGACGCAGACCTGGCTTTGACCGAACTCACGCTCAATATTCGCCTTGGAAAGCTCACGATGATTGCTGGACCCTAAGTCTCTGGAAATTCGCCCCTCCTCAAGGCCATATTGGGTGAAACTCCGGTCACAGAGGGGGATATTGGCCGATGTTCTGACAGGATCGCCTTTTGTGACCAACCTACCTGGCTAACTAACGAAACCCTTCGTCGCAATGTTACTGACTTTTCTCACTTCGAGCCTTCTTGGTACAGTATCGTTATTAGAGCTTGTGCCTTGGAAGAGGACATTACGACCTTCCCGAATGGCGACTAGGTTATGATGGGCAGCAAGGGCGTTACCCTTAGTGGTGGCCAGAAGCAGCGCGTAATAAGCATTGATCACTTTGCCGTCATTTCCTTGGCATCTTCTTTGTTAACCTACGTGCTCTTTAGGCTATTGCATGCGCTGTCTATTCCCGACGAGACTGCATTCTTCTTGAAGACGTCTTCAGCGGCCTTGACTTTGAGACACAAGCTCGCGTCTCCAACAATCTCTTCGGAATATCTGGCCTCTTGAGTCAGCGTATTCACACACGCTGGTATGTGCTGCAGACCTTCGCTGACACCGTCGTCACATGGGTGAATATGCTGCTCATATAGTCTGCGGGCTCTATAAGAACGCCTGTTACCGCATTTTCGACCGGCATAGAGTCATTAAATACAGCTTTTGACCTCATCGTGATGGAAAAAGCAACAGCCTGTCTTGTCGGGGCATCGGATGATATGGAAGAGGACGAAGTCTGTAGACTTGCTTACTGGAAGCGACCAAGGACTCCAGGGCAGACGACGCACGGTTTTAGACACCTAAGGAGATGATAAGGCCGAAGGCATCTAGATAGACGTAGTAAAAAGAGCCACATATTCACAAACCTCGTATAGATAGCTATATCAGACGTGCTTAGGTTTGAAAACATTATAGAATGCAAGGATTAACCGGCGAAGCTGGCTGAGAATCTTCAGCGTGATAACGAGTGCGGCCCGTTTAAAAAGCACCTTCTCACGTGGAGTCGTTGATCATGTCTCCATGATCAGAAAGAAACCTTATTGTTAATCCATGGTATTGATCCCCTGCTTCTCTCATCGGACCGCATCGTCGGATAGCTTACTGGAACACCCAAGTCCAGACCTGACCTCTACTTTGCCTGACTTTGCGCGGCCTGCCCGCTCCTGCCGCTAGAAAGCCATCTTCAGCTTGAGCTTGTCCTCTTCGATGATAGCATTTTTCATCTGCATTAACTCCCCCATATCCCATGGGCAGCTAACATATCGTCCTGCCAGCCATTCCTGGCGTTCGGCCGCCAGCCATACAATTGTGTCGCCCGCGATTTCTGGTTTGTCAGGAAGAGAATCTCGCAAGTGGTCCGGCAAGCCGCCCTTGGTTATCTCGGTCTTGATGGCGCCTGGATTGAGGGAGAAGGCCAGAAGTCCTTGATCGGCATAGTCGAGCTGAACCGACTCTGTCCAACGTGTAACTGCGAGCTTGGATGATCGATATCCCGTGCTAGCTGGGCGCGCACTTAATGCGCCTGAAGATGAGACATTTATCATGATGCAGAGCCCATCGCCGGATGCGCGAGTCAATAGCATCATCGGCAAGAAGGCACGAGCCATGTTAAAAAGCCCGCCGAGATTGACTTGCCAAGTGCGCCAGTAAACATCAGGATCCGCATCTAGGAACTTTTCATAAGGTTCCATGTGCGCCGCGTTGTTGACAAGGACGTCTAGACGGCCACCAAATGCAGCGGCTATCTTGTCATAAGCGGCTTTGACGCTGGCTGCATCGGCAATGTCTGTGGTACAATCAACGACGATTGGTTCATCCCGTCCAGCCTCTCTCGCGATCTGTTTGAGCTTCGCAACGAGGCCTGCGGATAAGCCGTGCAGGTCGACAGCGGCGATTCCTGACGCGCCCGCTCGTGCAAAGGCTGATGCCGTAGCAAAGCCAACGCCAGTATCCCAGGATGCGCCCGTGACCACAGCGTACTTGCCGGACAAATCTAGTTGGAGTGGAGAAATCAGATCGTAGGATACTGAGTGGCGTGTATCTGTAAAGTCACGCCGAATGCTTCCAGACCCGGCGGACATGCTGTTGAGTGTGTTTGATTGACTTGGTAATATAAGACGGATTTATGTGTTTAAGAACTGAATCAGCAGCGACTAGAGTCAGTGTAGATACATATCCATACACAACTATGTCTATCTGTCAACTTATATACACTATATTAATCTCGCATTCGGATTTATTAGGGACCTGGAAACTCTTTACCTCGGCCTTTACGTATCTTGTTGGCTGATCACTAATCAGCCCGGTCTATGCGAAACACTTACGTCAGTAAGTTCTACCCAAACAAAGATATCCATGGTACTATTCATAGAGAATTAACAGGTGCAATTGTTAATTATTGGAAAACATAGGTAATTTCTCAGGCCAAGAGATCTACGGGCGCTCATTGCCTTTTCTTATCTGTACGTGGTCTGATCAATAATTCTTTCGTTCCGGGTGACTTAACGTGGTCCCGTATGCCCTGCATATATCCTGTCCTACAGCCGCCGGGTTGCTAGTGGATTCGGCCTTGGTTATTCTATGCTTCCGTTACAGTCAGGTATTCTCTATCAACTTTACTATATTTATCGTGGTTCCTATGTTAAGATGGAAATCAATATTGTGTGCCGCACCATTCAGCCTTGAGTTTAGGTTTTCTAAACATGAGACTGGACCGGGGTTATAACCCCTCAGCACGAAAGTATCCGATCCGATTGGCCCGAGGTGTAAAAAGCTAAGCCTTGTGCACCAACAACAACATGCGTGCGAGGGGGCTGAGACTTCGGATATTGGCTTAGTGTACAATCACGCTGTGGGGACAGTTGTTTTCTCATCGCGAGCCTGATGCCCTCAAAGTCAGGTACAACACCTATCAACATGTCGCTCATTCTGTTCCCTTTCTTACTGACTCCGTCCTCAATTCGTATAGCACATCGAATCCCAACCCTTCTCAAATTTCTCACAGTCTGAAGAGGAGCACCTGCCCAAGCCCTTAAAACAATGATAGTTCAAATGGGCGCCTCCAAAGTCTGGCAACCCAGGCAGGTTGGCTTTTGGGCCAAATGTGGCGTATCCCTTTCTCTGGTCTTCGCCACCGCCCTAAGCTCCGTCATCATCGTGGCCCATTTGTAAAAATGGTCTATCAATGGCTCGTGGTACAAATCCTCATCCGATGCAATTACTTCCAATCGTGCCGCCGGGCAGTCGGGCATCCAGCTTCTCGCAACCATTCTGGGCGTCATATAAACTTCAAATGTCACCAGTCTCATACAGTACGGCACGAGACTGGTCATTTTCAATGCCGGTGGATAAAAAGTTCAAAGTCTCAAATGATTGAACAATCTTGGGATCCCTCGTATTCGGTGGGATCTATGATTCCGTTTTAGTGGCGATTCTCGCCTTATTCTGCCTGGGTCTAATAAGTTCAGCGTTATCGGTCGGCGGCATGACGCTAGTCGGCAGCACCGTTATAGAACGAGCTACCGTTCAAGCACCATCGCTCAAAAACACGACGATGATTAGAGAATATCCGTCCAAGATATCAGAGGCTGGTCCATCTACCACGATGCGGGATAGCTTGTTCACGTACCCCGTCGGGGTCAAACTTCTGAGCAGTCTCATCGTTTCTGGGTCATCCGCGACGACTTTTGACGGTTCAGTCCGCAGACGCCCCAAGATTGACAATACTCAATTCTCATCTCCGATGACTTGACCAGCTTCTATGAGCCAATTCTTGGTAACGCTTCCTATCGAGTGTTTCGGCATGGAACATGTCTTAAAAAGAGAATGGCACTTTTCACAGAACGAAGTAGTCCTTCGTGCTCTGAAGAGCTCCGTCGTTGCTATGGCGGAGTCGATGCTCGCAGCATATGGTGCTGCACAGCTGATCGTGGGCAATTTCTTCGAACAGAGGGGAGCGAATGAGACGATCGAAGAATTTGTAATCAGGGAAAAGGTCTATTTGGTTGCAATTGCCGTGTTCAACGCCCTGGTCATTCTCGCAGTTGTTCGGGAGGCAGTAAGAACAGAACAAGAGGATGTCGAGATCTGCTACTGTTCGACATTCTAAACCCCGACTAGCTAATCACAGCCTCTTTCCGAGGCAGCGTGCTTTCCAAATATTCGGAGGCAGACGGCGAGGGCCGCGTGGTCCCAAAAGGTTTTCAGAAGGGGCCTCATTTTTGCTACTCGCCTGTAGCGGAGTCCGAAAAGAACGAGGAAAGATACATAAGTATAGTGTCGTATAGTCACCATATGGGCATCGACGCGCGTGAATGAGAACGGTTGTCTATTAGAAGTAGAAAATGGGCACTATACTAAGCTCGCTCTGAGATAGAGAGTGCAGGTGAGGAAGGATCTCGGTGATTATGTAAGCGAAATCATTAGACGTGCGGTGAGGCCACGGATGGTTGAAGCCACCACGACATATAGTTACTGGCAAAACAGAAGCGCAGGAGGTATTACTAGTTGTGCATGGGTGCCGAGACCCAATATTATCTCGATTAAGTCAACAAGCCTCGAGTGCTTTGTATCTTACCGAGTGGAAGGTTATAGGTGAAACGAATCGGTGGAACCTATTTCTCTATTTCTCTGAACACTTCAGAGAACATGATTAGGGCGGAATGTAAAGAATATAGACGAACAGATTACTCTTTGGTTGGAAAGATATATTAATAAAACACAACTTTTGCAGGAAGAAACACGGATTTTCTCACACTTTTTTCTTTTTACAATCTATTGACATACATATAGCTCACTTTCTTGGTAGGGTCTAGACCCATATTGGTCATAGAATTAAATACCGTGAGTCAAAGTGCATTTGGAAAGAAGTTAATCCAGTTTTAGAGTGCCATATTCATCTACATGATGTAACTTATACAATGTGGTTGCTATTGAGGCAGCACAACATCTGACTGAGGGTAGAGCAAACGTGTTGACAAGTATGCACCTGCGAATAGACGCTCAAGTACAGCATACATACAAGCCACAAGCAATAGGCCACAAGCAACAGGCCAACATACAAAAGAGGTGGCAGATATGGTCGCGTGCTCAGAAATCAGTGATTGGACTTTTTGCCGATAGCTACAAGTTGCACTACATACCTACCCTCAGGAGTCCGGTCCTAGAAGTTACTAGTTGCGTAACGTTTTCAACCGCGTATGCAAAAGTCAGCGTACTAGCTTGTAGTTTCATATACTGAACAGCAATAAGCTGATCTGATTGCCCAAGGAGAGGTACTAACTACTGGTTGGCTTTTGCTGATATCTGCGCAATTTCACTTATAGCGCGGATCTGAGTACCCAAATACACCAGAAGCCGGAGCCCGATACAAAGGAGAATGGGAACTCCCTTAAGTATACTAGAGCCGGAACCGTAAGGTAGCCCAAGCAACCAAACTGTTTGTAGCAGTCTGCTAAGTAGTTGAAAAGAGACAGGTAGACTGGGGAGACGCCCACGGTCGCTATGCCAATGGCAGTTGCGGGAAGAACTTAGTGTAATTCAGGCCGTGCAGTCCACCCAGACGTGAAGAGCTCAGCAGGGAGAAGCAATATCTGCTCATGTGTGGAATAGAGACGGTGCTCTAGTGTATCTGGGCTTGCTTCAGTCAGCGGGAACTTGCGCTCCAGCCAGAGCCCCTGATAGATGGCCGCAATGGTGGCCAAGACTGAGCCCACACTTGTCGCTGCAAATACACTGTCGTTCTCCGCGAGGGTGAACTAATAACCGCCCTCGGACATTAGCGATACTATAGCTAAGGCAATGAACAATACTGATCAGCTAAAAGCCGCCCAAAGTGTCAGGTATGCGATGATGGGCTCGGCCAACAGCATCACAGAAGGTCTAGTCAAAGAGCTGGCCAACAATTGTTTGACACTCAACTTTGAGTCATCGTCTCGGGGCAGCTGTCACCGCACTTGCGGAGCCCTAGAGTGCGTTGCATTCTCCAGTCCACAGAGATCGAAAAAGAAGCATTTGTTTCCGTGCAACTTCCGACACCATTCGTCGAGTCTGTCTCGCTCTGTCGCCAGCAAAATGCTCTGGCGCGTCTCGGGTACGAAGAACACGGAGCAGCCAATCAACAGGGGATAATGACGATGACCTAAGCCAGAAGACCCATCTCCAAGTGTAATATTGCCTAGTGAACGAGAGGTCCAAGACTGATTCCAAACAGTGCACTGCCTGAGAATATTACCATTGGCGTGTTCCTTTCGCATGGTCCGTACAGGTCGGAGATGATACCACTGAGAGTAGAGTAAGTCGTGCTGCCAACACCGGCAAAGAATCTAGCAACCAGCATTCCATTCGACCGAGATTGTGGGTTAGACAATACTCCTCCAGCAGTATCAACAAACGGACCTCAATATCTTGTACGACATAGGTACTCAAGGTAGGAGCGCGTCACGGCGCAACATATTATACAGACAATGAAAAAAAGGCCTGCAATAACAAAAATGGGCTTTCGACCTCTGAGCTCAGATAGTGGAGCCGGGAACATTGGACCGAGTCCAAAGCAAGTAGTAAAAGTCGTGATGCCAACTAATACCGCCACCCCACTGAGCTCCCATTCATCCATCAGTTGTTGCTTGCATGGTGCAAGAGAGTTCGATGCGAAAAAGGCCAAGACAGCTGCCACGCAGCAAATCCAAGTCACGGCATTCTTCCGAGTTGCCGACCATTTGCAGAAAGAGACTATCCGCTGTGGCAGATGTGGCACAATCTAACTTCGTCCCGCGTCGTTTTGCGAAGGCCATCTTCACTAGGAAGGGGTTAAATTCGACTGGCAGCAAAACAACATCGGAAATATTGAATCCTTTGAGTAGATATGATCGGCTCGGTCCTTACTATTGGTAAACTCGCGGTCTAGTCCGAGGAGATTGCGGGATGCTCCGATCAAATCGATCAGTGGCCTTTAGAAGGCAAGGAAAGTGTTTGGCAGACTAGTGCTGTTGGAACAGAGCAATATGGGCCGGACTCTATGATCATGACCGGCAGTGACAGATTTGACAAGCCGAGTTCTGGTCTCGCGTGGCACCAGAGCCAATATGGCGTTCAAAAACAAACTATTGCCTTAGTAAGTAAGCTTAACACAACTTGGTTCAAGTTGGTGGCTGCAGCCAGACCAGAGATAATCCAACTCGTCGTTGGACAAACGGCAGCCCACAGATTGCGTCCTTCGCGCATTGGTGTTGATTCCTGGGCGTGGAGATTAGGGGGCGTTTTAGCTAGCTCAAAGGCCTCTCATCTCGCCTTGTTGGCGCCCGCTGCCAATAGTGGCGACAATTTGGGTCGTGAGGGAGCATTCCCAAAGAGGAAAGGCTCTCCACAAGGAACCAAGCTGGATCTAACGATGAATCTTCAAGCTACAGAGCGGGGAAGCTTCAGTGCAACTAAACCAACCACTTGGGATCCTTAGCGTCGAAATAGATCCATGATCCAAGCAGCAATTTGTTCCAGCCCAAGACACTCAGCACATGTGGGGGAAGAATCCTGTCAGGTCATTCGGAAATGGAGTCACGGCTGGAGACGACTTCCAACCCAACCACAATTTCCTCTGGAATCGTCTTACATCGAGATATTTAAGACCATCAGCCTGTCCGATGTAGAATGACGAGATAACCACCACTCGGCACCTCACTCATTCACCTCCTCACTACCACTCTCATTTCTCGAGTTGAATACTCGGACCTCAACTTTCGTTCTTCACCATGTCTCTCGCTACCCTCTCCGGCATCGGTCTTATGGCCATGCACCTGATGGCACCCCTGGTGTCTGCTGCCGCCGTTCAGGTTCAGCCCCGCGGACAGCTTCAAGCTCGAACCTTCGCCGACAAGGGTTGCTACTCAGAGCCCCCCAGAGACCACGGCCGTGCCCTCAAGGAAGCGAGCTTCTCCTCGGACTCGATGAGCACCCAAATGTGTTCCGACTTCTGCAAGGATTACGTGTACTTCGCAACCGAGTACGGCAGGGAATGCTACTGCGGTGATGTTCTCACCGACTCTGCTCTTCCAGCTGATCCTGGCGACTGTAACATGCCTTGCAACGGCATGGATGATCACTCCAGATGCGGCGGCCCGAGCCGTCTCAACCTCTACCAGACCGACGGCTACAGCGGGCCCTCCGTGAAGGATTTGAACAACCGCGGCTGGTCTTATCTTTATTGCCACACCGAGGGCGATGGAGGTCGTGCCCTTAGAGAGGACGGATACTCCTCTGACAACATGAAGGCTGAGGACTGTGGCCAGTACTGCTCCAATAAGGGCTTCAACTTCGCCGGTGTGGAATACGGGCGCGAGTGCTATTGTGGCAGCACTATCCACGGAGGTAGCATCGCTGCCGAGGCCGACTGCCAGATGCGCTGCTCGGGAGATGCCAAGAGCTACTGTGGCTCGGGTGGACGTCTTAATATCTATGCTCGCACCGTGCCTGGACCTGTCAGAACCGATCCCCGAGCTACCTTTACTTATGCCGGTTGCGCAAAGGACACGCAGACTCTCCGCCTCCTCGAGACTGGTTCCAGACTCACCGCCGACGACATGGACGCCTACAGTTGCTGGTCTTACTGCTCCAACTACAAGTTCTTTGGTGTCGAGAATGGCAACGAGTGCTACTGCGCCAACACTTACTCGCTGGATCTTGAGCTAGTGTCTGACTCCGAGTGCGGCACTCCCTGCTTCGGCAACGGGTTTTACACTTGCGGTGCCAAGGACCGTCTGAACCTCTACAACAGTGGCAGAACTCTCGCTGTCTCCGTTTCCACATCCCAGTACTCATACGTCAAGTGCGCCCAGGAGACTACCGGCGGCCGTGCTTTGGATGGTGACCACTTCGCTGACGACAACAACATGACCGTTGAGATGTGCGCTAGCCTCTGCAATAATGGCAAGGGCGCTACGTACTTTGGTCTTGAGTTCGGCAAGGAGTGTTTCTGTGGTACCGGCGAGCCCGCGATTGCTGCTGATGAGGGGCAGTGCTATTATAAGTGTACCGGTAACTCTAGTGAACTGTGCGGTGCCCCGGACCGTCTTTCTGTGTATAAGTACTACTAAGAATTTGAAAAAGGTCTGAATTAAAAAGAGAGGCCACGGAAGTAGAATGTCCTACAGTCAAGCATTGTATAGAGACGTATAAGAGAAATCTTGTTTATTTTATATAAATTTATTCAATAAGGATAAATGATCTTTCTAATAGTATTTGTCCCTTAATTAAAATTCGATTTCTTTAATAAATATTGAGTTTATTACTTTTATTAAATATTCAAGCTTTTAAATTGAAAGTTTGTTACTTTTATATATATAGGATATTCAAAATAAAAGCTTAGAAAAAGCGGAAAATATTATTGACCTTGAAAGCCGAAGGGTTAAGCATAAAAGAAATCTAGATTTATAAAATCTTAAACTTATACTATTATAAATAGCATTTTACTCGTTGTTATTAATTAAGAAATATAATACTTATTATTTAAACTAATTAGTTAATATTTATTTATTACTAATAAATTAAAAACTTATAATACTTAGTATAGTTATATAAATTTTATAATTTAAATTCGTCTTAATTAAATAACCGGGTTTATTAATTGTATTTTAAATAAGACCTAATTCTTTTTATAAAAAGAATATTAACATATACTATACTAAACTTTGCGCATCTAGTTTAGACAAGCGCCTCGATCAAGTTCTTTATCATATTCAACAATAGGGTGTCCCAAAACTCATTACGCGGCTTGAGCCGAACCGGCCTACTAGGAGATTCCGATTAATTTCCGCGCCAGCTCCTCACTCTTTCCCAGGAAAGGGTTATGCCCAGCTGTATAAAAGTATCCTTTTAGGTGCGATAAGAAGTGTCTCACTTGCTTATCTGTCTCATTTGCTTATTAAGTACGTTAAACATAGGCGCAAACTTCGGCGTTACATGTGCAGCATAATAAAACAAGAGTTCAGTCAAGTCGCATTGCTTCACTACTTCTTAATTCCTCTGGAGTTCCGGAACAAGATCATGCGCCCCATCTCGCCCCAGAAAGTCTGGGATTCCTCCATCATTTCAGCTTCATAAGCATCCACTTGCGGAGTCTCCCAAATCAAATCGACAGCCTTCGGATCATAGACAGAGGTTCCCTTGAAAACTTTCCAGAAGATGTAGAAGAGGATAGAAAGAATGGTCATTGCATAGCAACCGAAGAACGCCCCGACGTCCAAAGGGCTGAACGAGGTGTACCCAAACGTGCCAATGACAACACTGAAAAACACACTAGCAGCGTACCCACCTGCCAGATATTGTGATTAATGCACTTCCATGACCATTCTAGCACGGGTTCTAGAACTTACAGTAAGGTTGTCCCCATCCATAATAAGGCAGATTCTTACGGTCTATACCTTGCACCTTTGTGGCTCGGTGGTAAAACACATAGGTAATCGACATGACCAGATAGTTAACCAAAGCCCCACCAGTAACCTAAGGCATTAGTGTTAGCCACTCTCCTTAGGCTTTCGGAGCATGAGACTTAAATTGCTGGCTTACCAAATTAACTAAAATGCTGAGCACTCGAGCTGCTTGCTTGCTTTGCTGAAGGAATGAAAGGCATGCGAATGCCATGGTCAAGGCAAGAGCGTAGACTGGCACACCCTGCTTCGTACAGATTTTAAGGAACGCAGGTGCTCGGCCTTCAAGTGCCAGGCTGTACAGACTTCGCGAGGCGCAATAAACGTATGTGTTGCCAGCGGAGAAGATTGATGTAACAAGCAGAGCGTTGACGACATGTGGGAAGACGGTGATCTACAAGACCGTAGTGAGCCACAGTCGGAACATGCACATGAAGGTCTATTCTCCAACGTGAAGATGCTTACCCCCATGTTACGCATAGCGATCACGTATGGCGACGCTGCTGCTGTACCGCCGCCTGATCCGCCGCCGATCAGGATCTCAGTGAGTGTCTTGTCATCAGATGGAAGTACGATTCCAACTGCAATGGCGCTTCCCAAGAATAAGAAGAAAAATCGGATGTAGATCGTCTTGTACGCGGCTTTGATGTACTTTCGGGGATGCTTCGCCTCGGCGCTGACAAGGGAGATATACTCTGGGCCGACAATACAAAATGAAGCAACCCAGAGGGCAGCGAGAAACCCCTCAAAACGACCAAGAGATCCGGTGGTTCGTACTTCCTGAACGAAATAGTCAGCTAATGCTCTTTCAACGCAGTCATCCATCGTAAAGAAAGTGCCGCAGCTTACAGCGAAAGCTTCAGGATGATTCCAATTGCGGAAACCGTAGGCATCGCCCTGAGGGTTTCCCCCGACCATAGTGATGAACGTGAACAAGAACAGAGCCAAGACGAGGATGACCTTGCCACTAGATAGCCAGAACTCGGTTTCTCCATACGCGCTCACGACCAAGCCGTTGATGAGTGTGTAAAGAATGACACATGCTAGGCATAGTGTCCAAATTGGAATGTCATGGCTCCAATATTGCACTACAACGGCCAAGGCACTGATCTCAAAAGGGATGACAAGGGCTTCGTAAATGAAGAAGTTCCATCCCGCGGCGAAGCCAAAGGCTTCGTCCACAAAGTGACCAGCGATGCGAATAAAACCCCCAGCAACGGGATACTGGGTCATCATCTCGGCCATGCCATTGTTCACCAGACCAACAAAGAAGCAGTAGAAGATGAACGCCAAGAGAAGACCCGCGGGACCTGCTGAGTGTAGACCACTACCGATACTGATGAACAGCCCCGTACCAATGGAACCACCTGAATCCAGAGAATTAGTACGCGTCACAGCCTGATCCAAATACCAATTCATTCTCACCAATCGCAATGAGTTGAATTTGTCTGTTATTTAGTCGGCGTTGAAGCTGCTCGGCCTGAATAACGGTGCTTTGTGCCACTGAGTTATCGGCCCTGAGCATCCCTCCAGTCTGACAAGACTCGGTCCGCTTCAAATCATGGCCCTTTCCTGAGTCGTTCTGCATCGCTGAATTATTTGTACTGCAAAATCGAGGTGTGACGAGGTTGACAGTGGGTTTAGAGATGGAGACATGCGAGAGACAGATGTGAAGACACCAGGTCCGGACTATATGGCAAGTAGCGAGGTTCCTACATGCGGAGAGAGAATTCGAGGTAGCCATCCGGGGATGAGTGATATGAACTTTGATTGGTTGTCCATATCAGTTACAGGGATGGATATCGGCCGACGGTCCGTAGTCCGATGGCCATCTCCAACTACCACAAGTTTTTGTCACTAAGGCACACGTCAAGCATTATGTGCGCCTCATTTGCTAATCGATGAACCTGCTGTGAACACCCAAAAGTTGATTGATAGTACTAGCGTGGCCAGCGACATGGCCCTGGCAATCTCGAAATTGCTCTCATTGCGCGGCGCCTCTCTGTCCTTGGCGACTTCAATGGCGCAACTTTGCGAAAAGCCCCAGAGATCAGGTAGCGAAAAGCACACTGCCGTGCCTGTCGACGTCCGACAGAGCGCGTTTGAGGATACTTGGAAAGAATCGACCGCGGGAAGATTTGGTAGACTTGACTCCGCTGCCAACTTGGCGGGCATTCTCAGACCCTAGGCGCTAGTGATAGATCTCATCGACGAGCAACTAGCTTTCATTACGTCGATCAATGCTGCTAGGGTCTTCCATTGTCTCCCAGTCCAGATCCAGATTTCTCAATGGGTTTCCTGTGTTGTCTATCAGCTTGACTCGAATTGCGAAGTCCGGTGAAGACTGACCTGCCATACGCGTACTTGTCTTGGATGATCCTATTGAGATCGCACGCAGAAGAATACGGCGGCGGAATCTCTGCGAGTTCTAGGCTTGCAGTATTTCCAGCCTCTGTAAGTTGCAGCGCTGTCGAAAGCCCCTCGATTAATGTTCACACGCTTTATCATAGGCTAGTCGCAAATAGGTGCAGTTAGTCCCGACCACAATCATTCTGCCCGTGTTATCGAGAGGATGCCAGGAGCGCAGCGCAAGAATATGGGGACAAGGCGACCATGTCGGTCTCGGGGCCGATATGTGGGCTAATACCCTGCCAAGCCTCTTTCGTCGGCCAAGTCGCCGATAATAGTACATCCGGAATTCCTTCACGTGACACGTGAACGAGAAGGCCAAGCGATGGGTTCCTTGCGGAGCTATCCCCCTAAAGCAGCTAGTTTCATTGCTTGCACGGCAGAGACGCCGCAGCTGTTTGGCCTTTTGGTATCACGATTGCTACCATCAGATTATCGCTGAGGAATGCAGACCGGCGTTGACCGTGTCGCATACGAGGCCGATGCAGGACCCCCGTTTAGTGTCGAAGCATTGATGCGACATGGAGATGAAGGAAGGTCTATCTCCCCACACTTCAGCCATCGGCCTATCTAAGTATCATCATGACGATCCAAACTTGGAAGACCTTCCGAGGCCACCTCCATCCCAACTAGAGCGGCATCGGTCTCTCCGCCGGCCACCGATGTCGTCGCCGTTGCGCCAAACTGAACCTCTTCCGGATCTCTATCCACCCCGGCCTCTCTAGCAACTGCCAAGCCAGCATGTGGACCCATCTTTACGGAGTTGAGCGCTGTTCTAGGAGATCGGACTTCAGACCGAGATATTGGCCTGTGTGTCGCCTCACACTAATCGTTTCGTCAAACTACCTACGTTTGACTTTGCTAAAGACGTGTCTTTCGGTTTGTCTAAAAGGTTTCTAAGTTCCAAGTCTGCTCTTCGATCTGGTTGCGATTGTTTTGCTTTACCACACACACACGCCACGATGTCCTCGACTTCAAGAAACGATCCCATCTTGATTGTTGGTGCTGGCGCCTTTGGGCTGTCTACAACTGTGCACCTGTTAAGGGCTGGCTTCAAGGACATCACCGTCATCGACAAGGATGATGATGTCCCCTCAGCGTACTCGGCCGCTAACGATCTGAACAAGATTGTGCGTGCTGAGTATGAGGATGATTTCCATAGGGAATTGACACTGGTAGGATTTATCCTGCCGCTCTTTAACATCTGTGAATATTGAAGCTGACAATTGACCTCCAGAAAGCTATCGACGCCTGGAAGACGCCTTTATTCGCGCCTCATTTTCACCAGGTCGGCTTTATAAACGCCTGCACACCCGTAGCGTCCAAGGAGGCCGTCAACACCATGAACCGCTTCCGCGCCTCCGCTGAGCGATCTGAGCGAATGAGGCACTATGTAAAGTCGATCGACTCCAAGAAGGACCTCGAAGCTGTATGCTGGCAATATCAAAATTCGCCATTTCCCGGTTGGCACGGGTACTTCAACGGATGGAGCGGCTACGCCAACTCTGGCGCTGCTCTGCGGACCGTCTACAACGCTGCCAAGGTCCAGGGCGTCAAGTTCATCCTCGGAAGCGCTGGTACTGCATCTGAGGTCGTTTACCAGGGCTCCGGATCTCAACGCAAGGCCATCGGTGTGAGGACCCCGGGTGGTCTCTTCTACCCTGCGAAGCTAGTGATTATCGCTGCCGGCGCGGCTGCCGGCAAGCTCGTTCCGGACATCGGCAGTGATCTCGTAGCCAAGTCATGGTCCGTTGCCCACATCGAACTAACGGACGACGAGACCGCCGAGCTCCGCGGCATACCTGTTACATATGCCCGTGATCTGGGTTTCTTTTTCGAGCCTGACCCGAAGACCAACCTACTGAAGCTGTGCCCTATGGGTGGTGGCTACGTTAACACCGACTCTAGGACGGGTATCTCTATCCCACCTGCGTTCAAGGACAGCCAATTCCTTCCCAAGGGCGACGAATTGCAGCTTCGCGAGTTACTGAGGCAAACCTTCCCCAGGTTTGCGGATCGTCCCTTCGTCAGGAACTCCTTGTGCTGGTTTGCCGACACCGCCGACTCCAACTTCATCATCGACTACGTTCCTAACACTTCCTCGTCTTTGGTCATGCTCAGTGGTGACTCTGGCCATGGTTTCAAGTTCTTCCCCATTTTCGGCAGTTTCGTCAAGGATCTGATAGATAACGAGAGCGGGAAGCAGACCATCGAGCAATGGAGGTGGAAGGCTGGGGAGCAGAAGAGCGGCAACTGGGGTGAGGAGGTTAGCTGGAGGTTGGGCAAGAGCAGGGAGTTCATTGATATCCTACCTAATGTAGAAGCTAAGCTGTAGAGACTTCTTTCTCATTCCATTTATAACTTTTAGAGTTTGATGTGCAGGCTACTTAAGTCCTCGTGTTAATGGATGATTAATTCATAACATTATCTCTCACAAATTTCTAGCAAACTGCCAACCGCTGGTACATTGCATTACCTTGTAAAGTGAAGCTCAGAGACGTTCTTGTCTTCGCCGTCATATCTCCGGGTCAAATCGTGACACGTAGTCAATGTCACAACATGCTGAGAGTAGTGGAGATGTTCCTCAAGAGTCGTGTGCCGATCTTGCGTCGTTCCTGTCCTTCCAGCTTAGTGTTCGCTTTTCCGGGCGCCAGTGCGCGATTTAACCGCATGGCAGAGCGACCAATGCCGAGCTGAACTCGTAGACAATTGTCCTGATGCAATCTAGAATACTGTATAATAAGTCGATCAGGAGCATCGCGATGTTGATGTTTTCCCATCTAGACTTCCGATACATGTCTATCATTCTTCGAAATGTCGAAAACATGGAAAGACACAGCAAGGCCAGGCCTTAAGTCTCAAAAAACGACCAAGTCACACTCAGCGATGACGAGGCGATAGAGGACTATGTACATCAACCGTATGCCATCACAGTTTGCTCTGACCCGAAGTTTTACCCGAAGTAATCCATCCGCCATCAATATTGTATACTGCGCCAGTTACGAAGCTGGCGTCCTCGCTCAGCAAAAACGCAATCACCGTGGCTACTTCGTCGGCGCTGCCCATCTTTCTTTGAGCGTTGGCCATTAGGCCATTCTCTACACGCTTAGGGTCATGATCCGCAGACATTGGGGTATAGACGACACCTAACAGGGGACGCCAGAAGTTAGCCCCGAGCTCCAAAAGTCACGTATCAAACCTACCAGGGGCAACACAGTTGATGCGGAGATGACCATTCTCCTTGGCGGCGGCAGTGGAGAGGGAGATGACCGCAGCCTTACTGGCACAGTAGATAGAGCTATTGGGGAGGCCCACCTGGCCAGAGATACTAGCCGCAGAAACCTATAATAGGTTTTAGCAGGCCGGTTCGAGAGACTGTAGCACGCACAATGTGGTGGAATACTTACGATAGCACCACCTTGTTCAAGGGCCTTGATCTGCGACTTGAGACAGTTGAAGACGCCGTTAACGTTGACAGACATGACAAAATCGAGGTCCTTCTCGGTAGTGTCCAAAATAGAGGTGTGAGAAGGGCCGAGCACACCAGCCATGTTGACGGCGCCATCAAGTTTACCAAACTTCTCAACCGTCTTGTCGATCCACGTCTGAACAGAGGCTGGGCTACGGACATCAACAGCTATGGCGAGGTGTTTTTGAGTCCCACCCGGCAAGGTTGTGATGACCTTCTGCAGCTTAACCTCACTCAGATCGGCTAGGGAGAGTGAGGCACCGCGGGATGCAAGCAGCCGGGCTGTGGCGAGGCCCATACCACTGGCTGCGCCTGTAATGGCAATCTATTTCGGTGGGGAAAGGGTGATTAGCTCGGTGTCGGAAAAGCGGTAGGACGATACGCACCACTTTCTTGTCGAATGAAGCCATGATAAGATCAGGGGCGGGTAGTGACTTCAAGGATGAAACGGGCAGTGCTCATTGATGCGGACTTCTCGGGCTTGCTGAAGCTTTTAAGAAATAAAATAGAAGAAAAGAAAGCCGTAGGCAATAGACAAACACCCCTTCTTTGCGAGGAAAGACTGTAAAATCGCTGGCCTTGGGCTTCGGTCCGCGAACTCTAGCAGCAATTCGTAGCCGCAGAACTAGCTTCGGTCTCGGCCCCGACACCGACACCGACACCCACCCAACCCGTTAAGGTAATCACAGGGGTCTTGATAAGCGGGGGGACGGGGAAACACCCCTCAGTATCCACACAAAGATATCCCAGCCGCCTTTGGTCGGGCTTTCGGCCTCCTCCCCGCCTTCGGCCCCTAAGACAATCACCAAGCTGAGAAGAAGTAGTCGAATACATTCGTGTTAGTTTTTAAGGCAGTAACGTCCGCCATGGCATATTCTTCCGTTCGTGATTTGAATCTACATCGCCGCCCGCTGCAGTCAAAACCATCCGTTTAATCTTCTTACTTCTCCCTCACTCAAAGACATACACAAACGATAAAGGATGTCTTCCGACACAACAGACGAGGCATTCGATGTCCTCATAGTAGGCGCAGGGATGTCTGGAATCTGCACCCTCCATAGCATTAGGACCAGGTTCCCCAATTGGCGCGTCCGCGTGCTGGATTCGGCGCCGTCGGTAGGCGGCACCTGGTACTGGAATCGGTACCCAGGCGCCCGCTTCGATTCCGAGTCCCTCTCATATACATTCTCCTTTGACCAGAAGTTGCTCGACGAATGGCACTGGAAAGAGCGCTTCTCGGCGCAGCCGGACACTCTCGCTTACATCAACTTCGTCGCCGACCGCCTTAACCTGCGCCCCGACATCCAGCTCAATACCCGCATCGTCTCAGCCCGCTGGTCTGATGACGAGCACCGTCGGTGGATCTTTGCAGATGAGACTGGCCGCTCGTACTCCGCCAGATTTTTCATTTCGTGCCTCGGTTTCCTCTCAAACCCCACCCTACCTGCCATTCCCGGCATCCAGGACTTCGAGGGCCAAGCCTTTCACACGTCGCGTTGGCCAACTGACATGAGCCACCGTGACGTGGTCGCCGGCAAGCGCGTGGGAATCATCGGCACTGGTGCAACCGGCATCCAAACCATCACCGCCCTGGCCAAGATTCCTGAGCTCAAGTCGCTAACCGTCTTCCAGAAGCAGGCCATGTGGGCTGCGCCTCTGCGTAACACCACTATCTCTAAGGAGGATATGAACGAGGAACGAAAGAATTACGCAGAGACATTTAGGTTACGCAGAGAATCCCCAACCGGCTTCATTCACTCGCCTGATAAGCGCAAATCCAACGAGGCCACCCCCGAAGAGCGCCTTAAGCTTTGGGAGAGCCTTTATAACAAGCCTGGTATGGGCAAGTGGCTGAGTGTCTTCTCTGATACTTACACGGACCGTGAGGCCAATAATTTATACTCGGCCTTTATGGCCGATAAGATTCGGGCCCGGGTCAACGACCCAGAGATCGCTGAGAAGCTCGTCCCTAAGGATCATGGCTTCGGTCTTGCCCGTGTGCCTCTTGAGAGCGGCTACTACGAGGTCTATAACCAGCCCAACATCCACCTTGCCGATATCAGCGTCAATGGTATTGCGAAAATCACCCATACTGGCATTACCCTGGAAGACGGCACCAACTATCAGCTAGACGTGCTAATCTACGCCACCGGCTTTAACGCCATCACTGGCGCTTTCGTCAACGTCGACTTCCGCGGTAAGGACAACGTCCCGCTCATGGCCCAGAGCGGCGAAGCCGACGCCGACCGCGCTGCCTGGCTTGACTTTATGCCCCAAACATACCTCGGCATTACGGTACCCAAGTTCCCCAACATGTTCATGGTCCTTGGACCTCACCAGCCTTTTGGCAACGCCACGCCCAATATTGAGCACGCTGTCAAAGTGGTCACCAGTATGCTCGAGACGTGTTACGAGAAGGGTATTACTTATGTCGAAGCAACCGAGGAGGCTGCTGACTACTGGAACAACCACGTCGTCAGGGGTAGCGAGGGTGCTCTTCTCAACGAGGTGGATAGCTGGATGACCGGTATCAACAGAAACGTCGGCAGAGTCAAGCGCGGCGTGGTCCGCTATGCTGGAAGCGCCTTAGAATACCGAAGGCAATGCGCAAAAGCCAAGGAGAGCGGGTGGGATGGTCTTGTCATGCTCAAGGACCAGGGCGCAATGCAAGAAGCCGACCCAAGCAGAACCTTGGCCAAGTTGTAGGCTTACATCGTATTTTCCCGAATAGACGTGAATATCGTACTCTTTTCTTAGAGTAATAAAATGGAAAACGGTGTTGGTCCCTTCTTGATGCTTGCCTGTAAATATGGGTTTGTAGAGATGATGTAGAGTTGATGAATCAAGATTGAGCAAAACACAATTTGGCCGAGTTTAAGCCATAAGCTCGAAATATACCAAAGTTGAACCAAAGGCATGCCGCGGTATTCCGTTGATCTGGCCTGGAAGCAGTCGAGGCTTAACGTTCCGTGAAAGGTCGCATGGTGTCTTGTTTAGCGTCTTTGCACAAGCCGGGTTATCCAGATGTCTCTATGATAACACTGGATGGCGTCTTCTTTTTAGTGAACGGCTCGTCGAATTTCGATGTAGTCAAAGCACGAATAGTGATCTCCATGGCTATCTTGTGTGCACAAATCAGACTGAAGGGCCAGCGGCTGTGAAAATCAGATAATGTTTACATGTATCGAACTGTATCAGCAGGAAGTAGCCACGGGATAGGGTCATTGAGCTCGAATTCGCGAGCCAGTGTAAGTATGTCTTCCGACCCAACGCAGAAATCAGCAAAATCCCACAGACCAGTACCCAGACCCGTAGCGTCTGGATAGCTATTCACCGGCGCCCAGTCTTTCTGGCCCTGGCCATCGCTCGCTCGTCCGTCGCAGGATCTGCCTAGTGTTGATGGATCCAACCTTGAGGGTTCTATTGGCAGATAGGAGCGCTCACTGGCCGACTCCTCAGTCCGATGAGGGGCCAATAGAGTGTCAAGATGCTCCAGTTCGGCCTGACGAAGCCCAGCTGCTACGCTTCCCTTGCATATTAGAGCTTCGAAAACCACAACCACCGATTGACGCCATCCCGACTGTGGAATGTGTGATGGCAAGAATGCTGAAAGTATAGAGAGCAATGTGGCGGCAGAGAACGCGCATTCGAGATGAAAGGGTAAAAATGCCTCTGGAGTAAATTATTAATAAACTTAAGGTCGACAGTATAAGTCAACTAACAACGAATGGGAGCCAAGAGTACCTATCATTTCAATTTGAGCCAGATCGTCTAGTGCCGAAAGTATTGCTGCTGCTGATCGTCCGGACTTCTCGATAAGAGTAGCACCAGGTCCCGTCAACCACTCGGGCTCAACTCCCGGGCAGAATTTTCGCGTAAGTAGCCATATCACAAGCGGCCGGGTCGCTAGAACTATGCACTGCGTGATTCAACATTTGCTCAATCAGTAATTTCTCGTAAACGGTGTTCTTCTTGTGTTGCAACTAACATGGTGATATGATAGATTTATGTTGATGAACATTTGTGGCGGTTCGCCACCGTTAACCCTGTAGAAGGAGATGATTCGATCAATGTCTCGAGAGAGCTCTGCAAGGCTATGCAAATTTGATGTTGTATCTCGCACAAAATCTGAGACGGACTCTTGATCAAAGCTGTAGCTACCTAGACTCATATCAATATCAGATGCAGAAGAATGACGAGGAGATTGGTATTTTCGTACAGCTGGTTATAGTCAAGACGAGTCGCGATAGACGCACCCGTAGACTGAGTGCTTTCTCTGAATGATCAGAGGACAGTAAATCCGGAGTAGAGGTGGTAATGTAGTCTTGTGACAACGTTGATGGGCATCCTAGCCCTGCGGAGATCTCTTGATCGAGCACGTAAATGCCCCACCAGGTATTGCTGAATTCAGCTATCAGTTTGGGGCCAACATCCTTTGGCATGCGACGATGAAGGCCATCATGTAGCGCTAGGCGAAATGCTTGGCCGATCTGCAAGTGCAGTAGGTCAAAAGGTCAGACTTCCGGAATTTGCAAAGCGGGTAAAGGGAACATCCGCACTGACATATTGGTACGCTGATGAACGCATGTCGATGGCGTGAAGATACAGCGCTGATAAAGCCAAAACTCTAATGGCCAACAACGCTGGGCGTTTGTTTTGGAGGAACGCCACATCCGGCAATAGTGACAGAGCTCGCGCAGCAAGATAAGCTCCATTGAGAGTCTTCTTTGCGCGCGAGGTACTGCGATAACCAGATGTGAGTGCCTTACCCAGAGCAAGTATCAGAAGGTACTCGATAAACCACAAACGGTGTTCTTGCGCAGTCTCTGACGGGTTTCTGTGAAAAAGATAGAACGTTTCAAGGAAGCCGGGTTCATCAATAATGCAAAACAGCTCCCCAAGGCGAAACTTGACAGTGTTGTACAGAAAGAGGGCATGGTCCATAGGGGGCAAACGTAGCAAGTCATCGGCGTCCACTTCAAGCTTAGGTTGCCACTGTAAGCTGAATGCCGTTCCATCCAGATTCAATGGAGCTAGAGGAGTATCTGGACTGCCGACAGCGTTTTCTAGAATGGTGAATACCCGTCGGCAGAAGGTCCAAGTTGAAGTCGCGCCAAGAAATACTGTATTAAAGCCAAGTTAGTGCATCATCGTTACGCGATGATCAAGATGGAGACATGCCATGATGCCAAGATTTCCTGGGTCAAGAGGCATTGAACAGAGATTTGATAGATAATCTGGACATACAGAAAAGAGATGATTGAGAATCTTGGATGAAAGCAAAGTCACTGCCGATGAGGCTATTTCTGGGACGTTGAGATTGCTCTCTATCCCGCGATTCACCCTCAGCAGGACGGGAGTAAGACATGGGCCTGATTGACGAAGTAACGGTCGCAATCGGTGGAGTGACAGGGTGTACCGGCTGCTGTTCTGTTGGCTCGGGTTAGCTGAAATCGATGCATTCTGTGCTAAAAACATGGTTGAAGGCTTGCACGAGCTTATGGGTAGAACATACCCAACTGAGGCTGTTCGTGCGCCCCGCTGACTTGCGCAGATGACAGCAGAGTTGACCGGCAAGTTCTCGTCGTTGGTTGAGGCAACGGCCTCGTACTGTCGTCAGTACCTAATGTGAGAAGGTGGGGAAGAATAGTGCGCCTGCACATACGAGGACCGTGTAATCTCAACCTGTCTTTGAGGTGATGTAACAGGAGCCTGCTCGGGCTCAGACAATTGTTCGGCCGACACGCTGTGTTCTTTCTCGAACAGTCGTTGCTGCAGGTCGCGTAGATAGCGCTCGGGAACAGAGACATAGTCCTTCTCGGTAGCGTATATACATGAGGCGCCCCGCCGTGCACATCGTTGGCACGGTTGACCGCCCGAACAGCGTACTTTCGCACTCCGGCAATCTTTGCATCTGCAGAACACCCGCGCCCGGAGCTTAGCGGATAAAACAGGCTTTCACTGGATCTCATGTGGTGTGGGACGTACGCGCGGGCCCGGCGGAAGAGACGTGGTGTCGAGTCCGGGGCTCTTTCCAAGTCCATCACTATCGCTGAAGGGGAAAGCGGTGCCAAAAGTCGTTGCAGCAATTCAGGGGATTTCAAAAGAAGTTGTAGGTCTTAAGCGCGTAAGTAGTTGAAGACGGGAATCGCATCCGATGGCAAATGCGTGCTGCCGAATCGCGTAAGGTATCTCCGGCGCTCGTGCGGGGTAAAAGATAGCACAGGCCCGCTCCAGACACCCCGGGGTACCCATCCCAACTACCATATCTGGCATACGGCTAACCGCTATCGGATCACATGGTCCCGTGTTAACTCCCACTTCAAGACGCGATCTGTTGAGCAGTTCAGCGCAATTCTTAATAGCCGAAAACTCTTCTTTACCTTTCCTCACTCGAGCCCGTCTGCGGTGGCCTTGCAATCCTTGTCCTGCCGCACGGCTTGGACCACCCCGCAAATTCCGAGTGGGGGAGTGAGATGATGTGACCGCATGCTCATTCTTAGATCTGATGTTGGCAGGAGTTCATGTTCCCACAAGATCAGATCCATCTAACCACAATTAAGGTTAAATGCGGGCCGCCCCGTTGACATCCATGACTCAGCGATCGTCAATATCGGCTTGATGTTCGCGTGTCTTATAATTCTCATTAGAGTCTTAGCAGCTGCGATTTCGGCTACTAGTAACGTTAGTAAGTCCCAAAAGTTTTATATAACTAGCTACGTTAGCGCAACTACTACTAACACAATACTATATCTAGCTATTAAGCGCCGCACTGGGGGTCTCGGAGGTTCCCTGCTTGAACGGAGAATTTAGAGAAGCTGAAAAGTTGGAAAGCCTTCTATCACCACTGGCATGAAATTGTAAGGTCTCCATTAGAAGAGATCTTTAAGGCTCGTGTCTCCGCATTCGAACAGCAGTATATCGATTCACACATAGCAGAAGTCGCCTACGTCAATCAGACATGGCTTGATCTATATAAGGAGAAGCTTGTTAAAGCCTGGGTGGATACTCAGTGATTGAAAGAGGTAAGGCTTGCTAGCCCGAGATGCCTTTAACCGGGAGAGCAACGGCCACCGCAAATTGACACAACATTACGCAAGCTCTTCGAGAATCACCTGTATGCCAAAGCCTGAGTGATATTGACAGCGACATCCTGCACAGTACAGCCCTTGATCACCTCGGTGGTGTCCCCATTAAGCCATCTCGTTATCCATTTGACAGCCTCGGGTGCACCGTACGCCAGTTCCTCCTCATGGTTGCCTATTGAATTTCTCTGGTACAGTACGTCAACAGACGCCTCGCAATACCTTTGCATATGCGCATCGGTATACTGCACGGGAAGAAGTTCATCCTGAACTGCCTTGTAAGCGTAGATTGGCATCTGCGGGATTCCATGATATGTGGGGAGTACGTTGTTTCCAAGCAGATGTGCAATAATTGGTGCGTTGAGGACATCTCCGCCGTTGGCGAAGTATTTGTACATATCCTGGCCAGCGTAGGCAGTCGAGTACTCTAGGAAATTGTAACGGAGACAAGCCAAAAAGCTTGTCGCATTGAATGGCCCTTCGGTCTTGAGACTCTTCACGATATACTGTCGCGCTTCAGGAAAAGGAGCTGTGACACCGAGAAGAATGGAAGGGACGAAACCTGCCGCAGCAGTGCCACTCAACTGTTGTAGAGCGTGCGTCACATTCGAGGGCATGCCTCCAATGGCCATGCCGACGAACTTGACGTCAGGGGCGTAAGAAGCTTGCAATTCTGCAGCCCAGAAGCTGGCAAAAGAGCCACCAGAGTATCCCCACATTGTGTATCGGGCATCGGTCCAGCAGGCCAGCTTACTTTGGCTTAGGACGGCACGGATCGAATCGAGAACTGCGAAACCTGACTGAGGGCCGGCGAAGAATGCAGCATTAGGACCTTCGAAATCGGGCACACTGACGTACCATCCTCGTGCAAGGGCATGGGCGATATAGTCTGCAGGGGCAGGACTTGCTGCGGTGGCGTAAAGCGTGGAGAGCAAATGGCTGGGGCTTGCGTCAGGATCTGCCGTGTTGTAGGGAATCTGGTATGATAGCAGCCGAGCAACATGGGTTCCATTAGTCGTAGCAAGGACTTCGTGGTGAGGAATCAGTAGTGTCGTAACAGCCCAGGACGCCCGAAGGCCAGCGTCTGTGGTTCGGTAGAGAATGTTGTAAGCCGCGGAGCAATTGAGTACTGAAGTCACATTGCTTGGATCTGTGCGAGTGCGAAGAACAGCACCAGGTGGAGATGCTTCTATATCCAATGGTACCATGTAGAACGGGTCTTCGCTTGGAGGTACAGTTGCCAAAGCAGTGACAAGTTGAACTGCAGACAGGAGTGTGGAAAAGGTCATGAAATGCATTGTGTAAAGCGTTATCGTAGCGAAGTTTCGTATATAGTGAACAACAGTGTACCAGGAACCACAAATAAAATGCTTGTTGTTTTGAGGCACGCTTGATGTTACGTTTAGCATCGAAGTCGTGAGGTTTTAAGTGAATTCAGTTTGTTCGCATTGAAGTATCCGTCCATGTTAAGACGGATTTTACTCGGCACGATCGGACGCACTAAGTTTAGACAGCTACGTAGGAACGTTCCCATATAGCTCTTTTTCTAAGTGACGAGTGACCTAGGACATACCCGAAACGTGCGTAAAGATTACTCACTACCATAGAGGTATTAAAGTTTCGTAGTTATAGTCCGCTCTATATAAATAATCTATATATTAGTTAACTTATAGAGTAGTGCGCCGTACTATACGCTAATATTTAGCTAGGGCGTCTTATAGCTAGTACTATTTTATTATATTAAGACTATATATAGCTTATAAAAGTAAGCTAGTTCTATTTATAAGTTAGGGATAAATTTTAATAACTTTTCTAATTCGTTAGAGCGTTATTTTATAAAGGCTTAGCGCATTAGGCTAGCTTAGGAAATACTAAAATATACTTAAGCCCATAATTAATAGCTAAGCTACGTTTATAAATAATAGTTAAATAATAAGGGTTTTCTTAGATTAGTAATTATATTATTACGTCGCGCCCTATCTTACTACTTACGCTTCTAAAGGGTCCGAAACTAAGTAGATAGCTTAGAGGGTCTATATAAATATAACTTATAGATAAAAACGTCTTCGTAAGCTCGCTAAATAGTAACTTAAAACTCGCCCGCTCTATACTTAAAGTAACTTAAACATATTTTCGAGTTAGAGATTTATTTTATTAAACTAGGATAGTAGTAAGGTGCTATAAGATAATTAAAAGATTATTTAAAAAATAGTAATACGAGCTTATTATTAAGGCTAAAAACTATAGCGCTATAACTATAATACTAAATCTCTATAGCACTTCTAACTAAGCACTAATAAGGGCTTAGCTATAAATTATTTAGTATTATTAAACCCTTATAAATACGATATTAAGTAGGCTAAATGGGCTTAGGTTTAGGAAATTTTAAGAATTTCGCATACTTTTCAGTTAAAAATAAGGCATATTTTAAAAAAGCGAGAAATTAATAAAAATATTATTATATTATAACTACCTAGTTATTACTTTTTAATATATTTAAATAAGGTATTTTTTTTAGTTATAAAATATAGAATTACTTTATTACCGTAGTTAATAAATATTACTTTACTACCGTAGTTACTAAATTACTTTACTACTATAACTACTAAATATTACTTTACTACTATAGCTACTTAATATTACTTTATTACTATAGCCGCTTAGCGTATACAATTCTTAGGATTTCGACTAGTTCTAATTAAAGCGTAGGTTTTTATTAGTTATATATTAAGGCTATACGGACTTTTTTTATTTAGAAAAAGATATAATACTAAAAAACCAGTTGTTATATAGAAAAACTAGTCTATGCTCTTTATAAATTCGAATTAAGTAACTTCTATCCTCTAAAATCGGTATATTATATTTCGACTACTTTTTTATTATAAAAACCGCTTTTCGTAACTTCGATACTATCTTTTTAAAAAAAGTTTAGTATATTTTTTATTACTCTCCCTTAGCGTTATTTTTATTAATATATTCTTATTAAGTATATTTAGTTATTTCTTATCTAAATATCGTATACTTTTTCTATTTTATTAAAAGACTTATTATTAAGTAGTTCTATCTTTTTAAATTTTTCTTTTTTACTTAGTATAAATATATTTTATATTGCTCCCTTAATTATTCTTAATTAGTATATCTTTTAAGTACTTAATATATACTCTTTAAATATAAAAACTAGTTGCTTATATAAAAACTAGTTATTTATATAAAACTAGTCTCCTATATAAAAACCGCTCTCTTATATAAAAACTAATTTTCTATATAAAAACTGCTTTCTTATATAAAAACTGCTCTTTTATATAAAAACTAATTTCTTATACTAAAACTAGTTACTTATATAAAACTGCTCTCTTATATAAAAACTAGTTACCTATATAAAAACTAGTTACTTATATAAAACTAGTCTCCTATATAAAAACCGCTCTCTTATATAAAAACTAATTTTTTATATAAAAACTGCTCTTCTATATAAAAACTGCTCTCTTATATAAAAACTAGTCTCCTATACTAAAACTAATTACTTATATAAAACTACTCTCTTATATAAAAACTAGTTACTTATATAAAACTAGTCTTTTATATAAAAACTACTCTCCTATATAAAAACTACTCTCTTATATAAAAACTAGTCTCTTATATAAAAACTAGTTACTTATATAAAACTACTCTCTTATATAAAAACTACTCTCTTATATAAAAACTACTCTCTTATATAAAAACTGCTCTCTTATATAAAAACTACTCTCCTATATAAAAACTAGTTACTTATATAAAACTACTCTCTTATAAAAAAACTAATTACTTATTTTTAGCCTAATACGTAGCGCGGCCGAAAGTTACGGGGTAGCTAAAGCTAATTAACTAAGGTAAAAAGTAATAGCGGGGCCATAGCTAAAAGTTAAGGGTACCGTAATAAAAAGTTAAAGTACCGTAACTAAAACTAATTAGCTATAGCTAAAAGTATAATAGGGCTCTATAGCTAAAGCTTAAATACCGTAGCTAAAGTTTTTTAAAGTACTATAATAAAAAGTTAGGTCCTATAGTTAAAACTAATTAATTTAATTACGTTATATAATAAAAAGTTAAGTACCGTAACCGAAGTTTTTAAGTACTATAATAGAAAGTTTAAGTACTATAGCCGAAGCCTTTAAGTACTATAGCTAACTTTTTAAACTATATAGCCGAAGGTTAGGTTATAGGGCGTTATAATAGAAAGTTAAGTACTTATTATAGCTAAAGCTTTTTTAGCTATATAGCCGAAAGTTATAGGGCGTTATAGTAAAAGGTTAAGTACTATAACTAAAGCTTTTTTAGCTATATAGCTAAAAGTATAATAAGGCTCCGTAATTAAAGGTTATAGGGCATTATAATAAAAAGTTAAGTAATTAAGTACTATAACTAAAGCTTTTTTAGCTATATAGCTAAAAGTTATAGGGCGTTATAATAAAAAGTTAAGTAGTTAAGTACTATAGCCGAAGCTTTTTTAGCTATATAACTAAAAATATAGTAAGGCTTTATAGCTAAAGCTCGTAAGCGCTATAGTTAAAAAATAAAAGTTATAAATATTATAACTAAAGGCTAAGCGCTATAGCTAAAGTATTTAAGTATTATAATTAAAGCCCTAGTATTATAGCTAAAGGTTGCGTACTATAATAAAAGCCCTAGGGCTATAGTTAGAGCTTTTAAATACCGTAATTAAAAGTTTAAACGTAGTAGCTAAAGCCTTTAAGTAGTATAATATAATTAAAGCTCTTTAATATAAAATATATACTATTTTAAAAAGCTTTATAGTACTTTATAAATGCTAGCCCGAGGTATAATACGGCGTAGTATAAACGCTATAAAAAATAGTATATTAATTAAGTACTAAAGGGTTAGGCTTAAAAGGAAATTTTGAAATTTATAAATCTTAAATACTTACTGCCTTAGCTAGCTTTTTACTCGCTATTAGCGAGTTAATAATTTAAGATTTATAAACCCTAAATAACTATTACTTTTATTAACCTTTTACTTATTATTAGCGAGTGCTCGAGCTAACTTTTTATTTGCTATTAGCGAGTAAAAGAATTTAAGTACTAAATACTCGAGCTAACTTTTTATTTATTATTAGCGAGTAAAAGAATTTAAGTACTAAATGCTCGAGCTAACTTTTTACTTATTATTAGCGAGTAAAAGAATTTAAGTACTAAATACTCGAGCTAACTTTTTACTCGCTATTAGTAAATAAAAGAATTTAAGTACTAAATGCTCGAGCTAACTTTTTACTTACTATTAGTAAGTAAAAGAATTTAAGTACTAAATGCTCGAGCTAACTTTTTATTTATTATTAGCGAGTAAAAGAATCTAAGTACTAAATACTCGAGCTAACCTTTTACTTATTATTAGCAAGTAAAAAAATCTAAGTACTAAATACTCGAGCTAACCTTTTACTTATTATTAGTAAGTAAAAGAATTTTAGTATTAAATACCTAGTTAACTTTAATTATATTTCTTACTTTAATCCCCTTAATAAATAAAAGTAATAATAAGTCTATTACTTTCCGTTTTGACTTTCCTTTTTAAATCTACTATAAAGCCTTTATTAGCTTAGGATTTTTTTTTATTAAAATCCTATTTATTATACTCGCTTTTACTATATTATATAGGTCCTATATAAACGGTACTTTCTTTATTAATAAACTATAAACTAACTTTATTTTCTTCTTTTTTAATAAACCGAGACCTCCCCGTTCTTTTCTAATTTTTAATTACTTATACTACGAGTTAATATTTTTTAATAAAAATATTAAAATACCTAATCCTAATATATTAATTAAAATCCTTAGCGTAATAAACTAATAAATCGTATTTAAAAATCCTCGCTCTTTTTTTAAGCCTAGCTCTTTTATAAAATAGCTCGCTAAGTAGTTATTAATACTCTTCCCCTAGCTAGTTATAAAACTATTTTTTTATAAAAAGCCTTATAATTATAATACCTCGGGCCCGCCCTATAAATAAAGATCTTTTAAATCGACCTATAACTTCTAAAGCTTATATTATTATATATATATCCAGATCTATATAGAAACTATTCTAGCTTTAGTAAATATATTTATAATACTCCCCTATTACTTAACTAAAAAAGCTAATTTCGGGTATTTTAATTTAATAAGCATATTCGCAAGTCTTTTAATTTTTAAGATTACGTTACTTATTAAAAAGGAGACTACTTCGTACTTAGTTAATAAGTAGTATAAACGATTTTTAGAGGTTTTTTTAAATATCTAGTAAAAAAAAAGTTCGTTAATATAATAAT